ATTAGCAAGATTAGTCTTAATAGAGGACAGATATCAGAAATCAAGAGATGTTACTTTTCCTTCCCAGGCTTGAAACTCCTCTCTAACTTGCTCCTGCTTCTCCCTGTGTTACAAAGGGTCAGTTCTTCCCTGTATTGTAGCTTTGTCCATCATGACTGGCAGCGAATGCCAACCTAYTCAGCCCTGAAGGTCTCCTGTGGTCTTCCTGCCTTGCACAAAAACACACTGGCAGGACGTTAGGACTAGGATTTCCTATCAAACTTTTAACAGAAGCTATCAGTAATTTCCGATTGAGTCCGGACTTGCTAGAAGCACTGACTAGTAAAGGCATTGTTGGCCTATCTCCTATGGGCATCTGTCAAAAAACACACATTAAAAAAAATAAAAATTAAAAAAATTAAAAACTACCTTTTTCTCAGAATTGAAATTCATGCAAATAGCCAAAGTTGCAAAAAAGCAGTGGCAATTCATCTTTAACTTCCATTCTTGTAACATGAACAACTATTTTTTCCCTGAAATTTCAGATAACAGTGCTTAAGATCCTCCCAGCAAACAACATCTCAACAGGTAGCCAAGCTGCGGCGCTAGCAAAGATATAAAGCGAGAATCCAGGCACCACAGGCCACCAGCATGAACACAGGCAAACACTGGCAGTGCACGGGTGTGCCAGCCGCAGGGCCCGGACTTGGGCTTCGGAGAAGGGAGGGCTGGAAAACAGAACACTGTTTTGAACTTAACTTTAGTCCCTTGCCCAAATGAGGRAGGGCAGGATGCTCCCCGCAGGGTAATTTCCTGGGAGGATCTTTCATCTTCCTAGATTTAGTATCCCGGGATGGAAGGAGAAAGAACTTTCAAAAAAAGGCCAGCACCACAGTGAGGAACATCCAGCMGATGTCCCGAATTTTTCAGCAGGATAACCACCTCCATAACTGCACGAGATAACCCAACATCTGTGTGCGGTTCTGGGCTCCCCAGTGTTGCTTCTAGAGAGGGYCCAGCAGAGGGCAACAAAGATGATTAAGGGACTGGAGCAGCTCTCATATGAGGAAAGACTGAGYAAGATGGGCCTATTTAGCTTGGAGAAGAGAAGGCTGAGAGGGGACCTGATCAACATGATCATGAAGGGGGAATGCAGGGAGGAAGGGGCCAAGCTCTTCTCAGGGGGTGGCCAGTGACAGGACAAGGGGCAATGGGTGCAAACTGCAACACGGGAAATTCCATCTCCATGCGAGGAGGAACTTCTTCACTGTGAGGGTGMCAGAGCCCTGGCACAGGCTGCCCAGGAAGGTTGTGGAGTCTTCTTCTCTGGAGATCTTCCAAACCCACCTGGATGCCGCCCTGTGCCCCGTGCTCTGGGTGTCCCTGCTGGAGCAGGGGGACAAGATGGACTAGATGATCTCTAGAGGTCCCTTCCAACCTTAACCAACCTTCTGTGATTCTGTGACACAGAAGTGATGCAGAGGCTCCCTGAGAYGATCGGGAGAGGAGCGGGTGCTGCTTTCTGCTCCTGGTGCCCAYGTCAGCCGCAGGCTGCACCGCCATCCCGGGCATCCTAATACCACTGGCCTCGGCTGCCTAGGCCCGGTCGGCAACCTTGTACCATTGGCAAGCCCTATACGAGCCCTTGGGCGGATACACATTCCCGTGCCCAGGATTTGATGGCTTTCCTTTGAATCTTTACTCTCTTCACTTGTATTAAGAATCCTTCTGAGGCCTCAGCGTCCCTCCGCTGAGCTCTGAAGCACATGAGGGACACGCGACCTGCTGCCCCTGCGCAAGCGACTGCGCCAGGGTCCAGGCCAGTTTTACAGGAGAGAGAAGCAAGTACCAGTTTCTTAGTCTCTTGCCTTACGGGATTCTTGAGTGGGTCCCAAAGCAGGACAGATAGGGAGCTTTCCACATCTCTCCCTACAGACAGTTTATCTGGAATCAGCACAGGCCTCATCTGTGAATCCCCTTCTTCCTCCCACAGGGATTAATGACAGAAAGGCCTTATTGGAAAGGCCTTCTTATTGGCCTTAGAAGTCTTGTGTTTTTTAGCATTAAGAAAATCTTGAAAACTATTTTCAATCCTTTCCCCTTCCACTTTAATTCCTTTTTTGTTGCTGACCTTGCACGCAAACTTGTGCTGAGTGTGACCTTCGCTCTGCCCTTCACCCTGTCAGCAGCCTCTGCAGGTCAGACCAAGGACCAAACAACTGGCTGCAACTCTCCCCAAGCACCCACGGCTTCACTTCCATCAGGGAAGTCCAACACAGGAAAAAGAAGCGCCCACAGGGAAGAGCCCAGCCTAAGGGCTGTATGATTACACTGTGTGCATGCTTCGCGTGCGTCAAGTGCTCTGAAAAGTTCATGCTGAAGCCCCTGGAGATTGTTTTATTACAGCGCTGAAGTTGGCTGCTCTCTGTCGATGTTGCTGCCAAAATGCTGTGAAATTCCAAAAATGAAAACGCCTCTGGTGTGGGAAAGACTTTCCTGAACAACCGCTTTGGCATTCCTGCCGTTTTCTCTGCCACAAGGGCTGCCTCCCAGGAGCGAAGCATGACCACCTCTACAGAACAAGGAGAGCTGCATCCTTGCTGAGAAGTGCATTCCTCCAAAGCAATCCATCTTCCAAAGTAAAATTCATGTCAATGGGGCTGGGTTGGGAAGTTTTTTAAACTTTCAAAATAAGGTTTCTTTAAGAAGCAGGGATTTTTCCTCTCCAGTGCCTAGCAGAAAGTGACAACAAAATAGTTATATTAAACACAGCACAAAATGTTCTTAAAATATTTTTGCCGCCTCCTCTTGGATTTTGCTTACAACAAAAGTAGAACATGCAACAAGTTGTGACATTTTTGCAGATTAAATAAATTATTTTTTAGCCTGGCCTATGTTTTTATTCATGCAGAATGCTCGAGTTTGAGCCCTATAGTAGAGAATATGCATCTCCAAAGACTTTCTGTTTCATAGATATGAGGGAAAATATTCATCCAGCTCCTGAAAGATGCCAATCTCTTCCCTCAAAAGCAATTTTTCACTCAATATAAATTCCCATTAAGGTTGCTCTGATCTGGAAAGAAACTGTTACAGATGCTGCCTGCAGCAGAGTGATCAAAAATGCTTAAAACATTTTACAGGCACCAGAATTATGTTAACAAACGTGATGACCTCAGTTGTAGTCTTAAACCGAAGTAACAAAATCCCAGAATCACAGAGTGGTTGAGGTTGGAAGGGACCTCTGGAGATCTTCTGGACCAACCCCCTGCTCCAGCAGGGACACCCAGAGCACGGGGCACAGGGCGGCATCCAGGCGGGTTTGGAAGATCTCCGGAGAAGGAGACTCCACAGCCTCCCTGGGCAGCCTGTGCCAGGGCTCTGTAATCCATGGGTTTTCTTTCTGTTTTCCTTCCTTTTATTTTAAGACATTTTGCCACAGGGAAGACAGTACTTACAGTTCAGCTTCTTTCTGTGAGGTACTATGTTGCTCTTGACAAAGTATTCAGTCCCTTGGGCTGGAGCAGTGGGCAGAAACGCAAGCCAAGGAGGCGCCGTCGTGCATGTCGGCGTGAGGCCGCACGACTCCAGCCTCCGTGGAGGCTCCGGCCCCGGTGCGAGGCCTGCAGGGTTCATTGTGGATGTGCATGCGTTGCACGGAGCCGTGTCGATCGTACGAGGTACGAGCCGCACGGCGCCCGACATCCTCCCGGGCTGCCCACAAGGGCCCTTGCGCTGGGTAGGCCGTACCTTGGGCCGTGGCCAAGAGTTGCACCTGACGCTGTGCGAAAGACTAAGAGTGTAGGAGGCTACTTCTGTCACTAGGGTCTTCACCACCACCAAAAGATGGTGCCCCCTGAAACTGAGGTATCCCTGAACAAGCCTTAGTCTAGCGACTGGACTACCTTTACAGGATCTTACCTTTCTGACAGAAATCTCTTTAAATGCCACCTGAGGGATTCACATTTAAGCTTTGCCAGCGCCTTCGCTGTGGACAGGTCACTATTTTTTGCCTGAAAAAAAGTTTTCCCACATTAGTGCAAGTTCTGTGTCTGTGAGACAAAGAACAGGGTTCATTTTCCGTGATTCCTCATGCCAGGGGGCACACAGGGAGCTGCGGGGAGCAGCCGTCTCCCACAGGCTCCGGAACGGCCTTTCCTGCCGCGGCACCTCCGCGTGCCGGGTTAACCACAGAGGCACGAGGGCCCCCGAGCTGCCCCTCGGCTCTCACGTGGCCTCTCCGCTGCCGCTGGCCCCTCGGGCTCCTGTTTCAGAGGGCAGGAGCTCCGGGTGCGTGAACAAGCGCATCCCGCCGCATGGTCTGGGTTAGCCGTTTGGGTTAATTACCTAACAGATCAATAGCAATAAAAGCGCAGCAAGAGCACGCGAGAACAACGCTCTTCGGACTTTCAAGGGTGTCCCGGGACACTCCTCTCCCATTTACACCCCTCAAATTCACAGCTTTACTCGAAATGCAAACGTCCACGAATAAGATGGTTTATTGAATGGACTAAATCTAATGTTTAGATGCCGTATTTGTTGTGGATGTACATGAAATATCACATGGGTTTTCGTTTTTGGCTTGTAATTAAAATTGAGCACAGAAAGTAAAAGACAAAAAAAAGGCATTTGATACTTTCCAAGTCACAAAGCTTTGATAGATTATAAAAGACTGTGCATACTCTTTATTTTTAAATATGATCTTAACCTTTTCCCTTACTAGGGAAGAATTTTGTGCTTTTGAGTGCTGTCAAAGCTATAAAGAAATATAAACTAGTAGAGCTCAAGAAGTACAAAGTTGATCAGATCCATAACAAAAAATGTAGAGACATCCATTAGAAAAGACTGTCCTTTAAAGGCAGGCCACATCAATGGGGCCCTTAAATCAACTCTGAGCATGGCTGGCAGCTACAGGGTTGGAATAAAATTATGGGGAAAAAAAAAAAAAAAGTAAAGTGACATTAAACAAGTTGGATTTTCTTTCTCTTACTCCCTCTGATACTTCTCCCACTACAGTACCACTGTGTCTGTGCAGCGGGTACCAACTGCGTCCGTGCACGAGGTATCCCAGATGTTGCCTTTATTTCTCCTTTTTTATCTTCCGTGCTTATGGAAGACACCCCAGCACGGTGCATGGGTGAGAGAAGCATCTGCACAAGCAGCAGCTCGAAGGATCGGTGACCAATAGAAGAAGATCCATTTAAATGGACATTTAAATACATTTCTAGGTTGTTTAACAAAAGGGAAAACACAGTAAATAAAAAAAGAACAAGGAAAACCTCGCAACCAATCCCAAGGTGTCCTGATCCTGGACTTCTCCATGCGCCCGGGATGCTCCTGCTGATGGTTTGTGTCGCTGTCCCTGGAGCGACGCTGCACGTCCAACACCGCGCGCGTGCGAGCGCTCTGGCACTCACCCACCCTCAGCACAGGGCAGGCAGCACAACACCTCCAACAGGCCGCCTCGTCAACGCCACTCATCGTTTTCTTTCCAAAAAAGTGAAAATTTACAATGAGTTCTTTCAAGATAACAATAAAATTGCTCACAGCAAACACCACTGATTTTTTACAGCTGTATTCTCCGGAGTTCTTCACCGATTGATCAAATCAATACAAACGGAAACAAAACCTAGTGAAATTCATTCCTTCATTTTGAACGTGAGATGACAACGGCAAAATCATTCCCGAAGGCCTGCGCTGTCCTGGACGAGCAGGAACCTGGGAGGGCAGGCAGGGACCTGCGGGCACCGGGCACCTGAGGAGCTTCTACACGGACTCCGATGGTCACCGCCAGCTGCTGATGGGGAGCTATTTGGCACAGGGCCTGGTGAAAATAATATCTAAGTATATCAACATGTTACAGATTTTAGATGCTGCTGAATGAAGTAGTTAAATATTTACCCGATATCCTAACAGGAGGATTTGATAGAGGCCTACGCCTTTCCAGAAGTAACCGGTGGGAAGCTCCATGAACAGCCTTGTTCTCAAACCAGGCTGTGCTTTGAAGCTGAGCTCTAACGTGGAGAGCTGCTGCAAAGCCAATTCTTCACTGCCATAAGCAAGTCTTAAGCACTTACTAAACCATAACAGAAATATAATCTCGTTTACATTTGCTCTCCCCTTCTCCACATTTCCCCCTCAGAATACATGAATGGTCTGCTGCAGAACTGCAGCTCGTTCTTTACCAAAGCAGCAAAGAAAACAAACAAATCATGCATAGCAGTAATAAAATATCTACATAAAAACTTAATACAAGGAAAAGTTACAGAAAATTATTCTGGTTATACATCAAAACCAAACTCTTTGGGCTGTAAAGTTTTACCCTGTATTGAAACACTGCAACTTTCAAGAAATGCATATCCTAACCAAAGTTGTACTACACTGATCTAGCTGACTTCATTTTTTATCTAGTGAACGAGATCTGAGCTCTGGTAAAATGTGGTGACCCCAGCTCCTAAAGGGGAAAAACAGTTTTCTTGTGAGACCTTTAGGAAAAATCAGCAGGGAGGACAGGGCAGCGGCAGAAGACGTGCAGGAAACATCAAAAATTTCTCCCATGTGAGAGCACAACTTCAGCTACCGTATAGAGAAGTAGCCAGCTTACATTATGACAACTGTAGGTCAGCTTTGGCACTTGTGTTGCTAAAAAATAATGTGGTGTGCACGCTCCCAACCAGCAGGCAACCAACCGTGCGGGTCTGTTTGTATCAGTGATCACCTGGCAATCAGGCACTGCTCAGCCCAGGAAACAGTTCCCAACCATGTGCAGAATCACCCAAGTTCTGCTGTCTTTCAGCTGAGACACCAGGGAACCACTGTTTCCAGAAGAATAAGCAGGACTGTCAAGGGTGACATGTGAAAAGATAAAATTTTAAAATACAAGAACAACTTGTAGGTTGTCTTACATTGTCTTCTTTTAACACCCACTCTATGAAAAACAGTTGAAGAGCACAAAGTGCAAATTTTCATCAACTGGCTCAAGAGGGAAAAAGAAAAAAAAATCCCCAGAACAATCTAAGCCTGAAAATTCTTTAATTAAATGAACAAGTCTCTTGGGAAAAACATGGACAGAGATGATACCTTTTGCAGGCCAAACCTGAGCAGAGATTGGATTATGTTTCTTGTCTTTTGCCTTTTTTTTTTTTTTATTTATATATAAAGACAGAACAAAGTATTTCAAGACACAGCTGAAGTGGTGTCAAAATAGCAGTATACCAGGTCACAATCAGAACCTTGTATGTACAATTCATATTAACTTAAAAAAATAAAAAAAGATCAAAATACCTCCAGAGAATATTCTAGGTTAGAGAAATTCCTGTACAAAAGTAGGCCACTTTTGTTGGTTTAAAAGAAGTCCATAGCAGTTGGTCTCTTCTTAGCTGGTAGAGCAAAAAGTTTCTTCCTTTGAGGCTCTCCTGCTGGGGCACCTGCGGGCGACTTCAGGACCCCATGAGGGGGTTTCTGTTCAGGATTGAAGGCCACACGGGAGGGTCCTTCGGGGCTCACTAAGATACTTTTGTCAGTTTTTTTAAATTCTGTTGAAGAGCAAGCAAACAAGTTAAAGAAACACCATTTCTGGAATAATTGGGCCCCTCAAAGAATTGTGAAATTGCCCAACCCAGAAAATCTGCCTTGGATCTCTGAGTTCAATCACTCAAGAGCAGAAACCTAAAACACTGAGGAAAAGAATGGATATGGGAGGGGGTAAAATGAATCTCTCAGCAGAGCCCCTTTGAGAAGGGTGGTCTGCTGCAAGCCAGAGAGCCATGGACTAATCCCCAAGCTCCCGGAGATCCCTAGAGACTCCTGGCTGACTCCTCAGAACCAAGTGCTCTAGCCACCCTGAGCAGCATCATGCTTTCCTTTGAGACAACATCGTGGATGAGAAGCAGCTCTCCTTTCACTGTTAAAACAGCACAGTTCTGGAAACTCATGGTTTTCACCACTGTTGGCATGAAACTGCTTTTGTTCTCTTTACATGTGTTATGTTGACGTAAATATATGCACATGTATCAAAATCCGACTACTCTCCATTTGAATATGGCTTACAGTGCAAGTGGGAGAAAAAAAAAATACAAGGAAATAAATCTCTTGCTCCCAGCACCAAGGTTTTATCGAGGAAAAAACTTATCACTATGTAATAACACCACGTACACATGTGAGATCCAGAACGGGACTGATACTTATCTGTGCATTGCTATCATAAATCAGAGGCAGTCCAGATAAAACTGGACTTTCACTATGAGACAGTCTGAGATTATTGTCGCATCAGCACCTTTATGCTGGGAAAGAGAACGGAGCAGTGAACAACGTGAAGGGCAACGTGTTGCTCCCGAAGGCACCCTGCACAACGAGCGGCTCAGGATGCAAACCCACTGCGAGAGTGACAATCTGTAGGCTCCACCTGCAGTCGGTGACACAGAGCCTCGCACTCACACCCATCTGGATTTCAAAAAGCACCTCCTGAATCTCAGCATCTCCCCTGGACTAGGCCCTGGGGATGGTCCCTATGCTACACACAAACAATGTGACAAAAAGGGATCAGAATGGCTGTTTTGGACAGGTGGAGAGTACGTGGGGGGGTGTATCCACCTTTCCCCTCCGCACGCTATGAGGGTGCAAGACAGGCAGAGGCGTTAGACTCACCCGCAGTCATGTTTTTATTCAAGCCAAAGGTGACTTTTTTGGAGCCGGATGATTGCAGCTTATTCAACTGTGAAGCAAAATAATGACAGCAAAGCAGGTCAGATTTGTGCAGCAATGCCACTAGCTTGCTCACCTGCACCCCAACAACACTAATGCAAAGCACTCCAACTTTCTGCAGCTGCCTCAGAACTCCCTCCAGCCCTCGTGCTGACATRCTGGGCCCTCCAGAAGGGAAGGCAGCAGCAGTACTGTCTTTCTGGCAATAAAACCCACATCCCGTTTGCAGACAAATTACCTACTCTCCCTAAGATCAGTTTGTAATTTGACACACAAGAAAGTATCAGTGGGCCCCACTGCACTCATGCCTCAAAGCGCCAAGGGGGCTTGGAAAGGTGTGATATGTTGGGAGGTTTTAGAAAAGAGGGCAGCCTTTTGCAGGCCCTGTACTGTTAGTAGTCTCCAAAGATGGGAAGAAAGGCAAGCTCAAAGTTTCTTAGCAGGAGCGAAAAATCCTTTTATTTATTTTGTGAAAAGAGCAGTTTCAGAACAGCGTCCTTTCAACAGAAAGGTGTGTTTAAAAGGAGGAGATGGGGAAAAGGAATTTTAGATGGGGAAAAGGAATTTTAAAGACACCTCCGGACTATTTCACGAGACGCTGACGCCCCGTGTGACTCTTGGCGAGGAAGCGCGAGGCAGTTTCCAGTTTTATCTGCTAGGAAGCAGAGCAGCATGGAGCGAGCAAAGCAGCAGGAGCAGCAGCGAGGCAGCCCCGCGGGACACAAGGCGCCGCGGCCACCACGCTCAGCCCCACGGGTGGCACTCGCGGCTGCCGTCTGTGCGTCCGTGTGTCCRTGGGATCACGCTACCTGCACGGAGGTCCTGCCGGCGGCGATGGCRCCCTTGGCCTTCCTGAAGAACGCCGGCTTGGGCAAAGTCGACTTCTCAAACTTCACGAAATCACTCCCCGTTTTCACTTTCTTTTTCTTTATCAGCGGTAGAGCAGGGCTGGTTTCCTGGAAGGCAAGCAAGGAAGGAAGCTTCTCAGTGCACAGCTCAGAAGCCAGCGAACGGAGGAGGCTCAGGGCCTGCCATGCACGGCTTCACCACAGCTGGACACCAGCAGGCATTCACACGGGCCAACCTCTGTGCCAAAGCCTCAGGCACTAACTTGGCAGTCACCTATCTTCCTATTCCAGCACATTTATTCCTGTGCTGGAATAAACGCTGGCCATCGAAAGCAAGGAACAAGGCACCTGTAAACATTTACACGGCCGATGAACGGGGCAAAGAGCCGTTTTCTTCACGCCCACGAGGCTGCCTTACAACCAGCCCAGCTCTCCTGCACGCACGTGCTGCTGTTCCTTGCCTGCAGGCGAGATCTCTCCTGAGACTCCTCCGCATGGATAAGGCCCGTGAACAAACCCAGCTCCAGCCTGGGAGGGCGACTCTTACAGAGTGTCCAGGGCACGCTTATTTTTTCAATTTAAAATATCACTTGGGCTTTAAGGAAAGCACGAGCCTCTTGGCTTCCTCAGCACAGCCTGAATTCTGGAGGCAAACGGGAAATAATGCCCAACTTGTCTGATTTTTCCTCCTCTTCAACATTTGAAGCTAATTCTTTGTGTGGGTGGGTTGTCTTGTGAAATTCCAGAATTTCCAATAGTACATAACTAAAATAACTAAAACCAGGAAACAAGACAGATGCATTTCTTAGAAACTGAGCCGTTAGAGATAAACAAACAAGAGAGTTACAACATGGGATATCTGGGCGACAGGAGGCCAAGCCAAAACTTCGCATTTTGGATACTCTGCAGTGAGAAGAAGGCTCTTTGCCCACTGCATGTTGAGTTTCCCCCCTCGCAGTGCTTTATCCTCAAAAACTAGGAAATGACAAAGCTATTTTGGTAGCACGGAGCAATGTTTCAAAATACGCTTTTCACCCTTGGAGGATGTGCAATAAAACAGACTCAACAGCAGACTCTATCAAAAAAGCCTGCACTATTTAACTAGCCGTAGAGTTTAAAACCCAAGTTAAACAGAGATGAGGGGACTGGCTGCTTACATCCATTATTTCTGCTACGTGTCTTTTCAGTGAGAGGAAGACTGAGCATTTCATTTATGGTTTATGAAATTTCATTCCACCAATACAAGAATGTCAGCAAGACTTCCAAGAAGAACTGATTCCCTAAACACACTGCAGTAAATACATACACTGAAAATGTACAATTAGAAGAATTTCAGTGGCAGGAGAGGGAAGAAGCCCTGCATTCCCTCTCTCAATCATGCTACCAAAATGCACTGGGCAAAATGGTTTCCAGATGTGCAAATTGCTGAGCAAAACCAGGCTGCTGTTTCTCAATGCAAAGAGAAAAAGAGTATAGGAGGTAGATGGAGGAAAAACACAGCTGGCTCCCAAACTTTGAGGCATCAGTGCTGTCTTTCTAGGAATCCGGACCATTTGTAAAAGAGAGCACATCTTTACACTACTTAAATTGCAGGGGGTATTTTCACAAGGCATTTGTATTAATCTTTGTTGCTGCTGAAAAGCAGCAACTGATGTTCTTCCCATTCCCATCCCTGCATCCCACGCCTTGTGAGCACGCAGTGAAAAACTAATCCAGGGGAAAATAAATAAATAAATAAAATCCACACTCTAACCACAATTTCAACTAGGTTTCGGCTAAGCAGCTGCCATACATGCAAGAGGGTTTGGGCACCAATAGTGCAGAATAACATCAGCACAAAACCAGCTCAGGAAGCCCCATATTCGCAAAGCTAAAGGCAATTTTGAAAAACTGACCTGGCAGATTATAAGGAAAGTAGAAAATAAAAAGTCAGATCTATCTACTTACCGCCTTCTTGCTTTTCTTGCATGCAATCTCCAGATTCCCATTGGCTTCAACAGAACTTAGCACTTCTTTTACTTTTCTCTTCTTTTTCAGGGTTGTTGCTTTGTGGCTGGAGACCTTATTCCCTTCTAAACCACCTAGTCTGAGTTTCTTCTTCAGTTTGATCTTCCTGGAGGCTGCAGCTTCCGAGTTTGCCTCTCCCGGTAGGGTCCCCAGCAACCTCTCCTTGCCGGGGGTCGGGTCACTCCGCTGCAGGGGGACGTCTCCGTTCGTGAGGACAGTCCCCGGTTTCTGTTTCTTTTTTACCACCTCGGGAGCTAAGGGTGTGAAAGACGGGCTCACGCCCTTGGCCTCGCTGGCACTGCCCGTGCGGTGCTGAGGCTCTGGCTCTGCAGCTACGTTCTGCGCTTTGGCGCTCATTTTCTTCAGCTGAACCTTTTTACCCTGCTCTGGGTCAGTCGGGCCGTGGCGCACAGAGATACTGTGGTCACCTCTGCTCTCTGTTACTGTGTTTCTGGTCTCGTTTGCCTCGTTTACTAGGGGCTTCTTTTTCTTCCTTTTCTTGTTATTTTCTGGCATCCTTCCTTGGTTGGAAACATTAGATCCAGATGTTTCAGTTATCCCCACCTCACAATGTCCATCAGCTGTGCTGAAATCAGCACTTGGACCATCCCTCCTCTTCCTTTTTTTCCTCTTCTTCTGGCGAACTGACGCCTCCTTTTCACTTGAAGTCTCCTGTTCATCCTTCTCTGCACCCATCCCAAAAAGAACACCACATTAGACAGATGGGAGAGACTTGCACCAATTCAGGTTTATTCTACTTACAACAAACAAAAAAACCCCCGATGTACCATTTTTCCACTACTGGGACAGTGGGACAATTTTACTAGCACCAAAGCTAAGAACTTGGAATTTCCCCCCTAAACCTTGACCTAATTCATATTTTGTTGATCTAGTCAGAGCTGACATCTAAGCCAATCCCTGTGGTAGCCTCTTTTTGTACAGTGATACTGCTATAAAAAGTTATTAYTATCATCTTGTTCAAGCAATGACAACTCAAGTTTTCAGCAGTTTTGTGGGTATGACTGAGCTCGTGACATGTCAGTAAAAGTCTTGACACCAGCTACCCTTACACATGTCTCTCAGTAACTCTTCTCTGAGTCACCTTTCCAGAAGCACTCCCAAATTCCTATAATAAAATTCCTGTAAAAGTCACATTATTTCAAGGACTGACAACTTTCTGCTTACCTATAACAGATGTAACTGTTTCCAATTTTGCCTTTGATCGTCACTTCTGAGGTTATCTTGCCTCAGGTAGTGACAAGACTCCCATCATGTTCAAGGAGACCTTAATTTCACATTTAACTTTCACTGCTACACAACATGAAGCACAACAGCCTGAGTAACAGGCTATGCTTTCTTGAAAAAGGTTGACGCCTGACACAGCCAAATTGCACAAGCTGCTGCAGATTGCCTCTTGGAAGACTGGTCTTGTCTTACCTTTTACTTTTTCTAACTTGTTTTTCTCTGGAGGCTTGACAGGTTTTCTCTTTCGCCTTCCCCTGCTGAAGGTATCATCATCTTCGTCTGTAGAAACATCTTCAGGAATATCTTGGGGGAAGATTCCTGTTGAGGAGAAAGAAGATATGTGAAAATAAATTGTATTCTCTGCGCTGCTGTTCATATATGGTACAACAGCTTATCCAAGCAGTAGAAACACAACACCAGCAGAAACACTAACACAAATAATTACAGAATCACAGATTAATAATTACAGAATCGCACATAGATAAAAGCAGTTTGCTCTCATTTAAGCACCACGTTCAGGGTAACTACAGATGGAATATGACCATCCCCACAAAAATGTGCAAAATGAGGCTTAATGAGGTTCGTCCCCAATATCCCCAAAACTCATTTAAAATAAACAAGAAGTTTGCCACGCACATTGTACAGAGTGGATATCTTTTAACAGAAAGAATGCTGCTCAGTTCTTACCTTCTGCTAAGTCCTGGAACCTGGAGGCAAGGGGAGAAAGAGATGGAAATAAAAACACAAAACAGCATTATTGCTTTAGAATCAGTTATAACACTAGCACCACAGCATCACTGCACTTGCAGTTTTATAAAAATAGGAGCAACAAGTTTTAGACAGGGAGCTCATTCCAGGAGAGAACTGCCTTCCTAAAACCAAAAACTCAACTCAAACCACAACTCCAGTGTCTGGAGAAAAGAGCTGTCCAACACATCTCTGATATCTGCAACCTGTGTCAAGCACACTGTAAGGTTGGCACCTGAGATACCAACCTCTTCAGCCTGCTGAAGACACGGAGGCGGTGTTATTTTTAAACCCTTTTAAGTAGACAGGACAAAATGTTTTTCAGCATGCAGAACAAACCTAAAACTGCCATTGTTTCCAGAATTCCACAGAAAAAAGAAACTCCTATCAGTTCTGTAAACATCAGCATACAGCTCGTTCTCATAGGAAATGCTCACTTTTAAGCAAACACACTGGACTGCTAATAGCTGGGACAGGGCCAGGAAGCTTCTCTGAAACTTTCTGGCACTATCAGGGACAAAAACGGTGCACAGAAAATTAAGCCAAAACTGTTCAGGACAAGCCAGCACATGCAAAGTGTGTTTCAAAAGAACTCACTTTTTGACCAGCTTGTAGAGACGCTTTCTGTTAAAGGAGGGTGTATTCTTCTTGCTCGCCATTTCAAAGAGCTTGTCAGCAACAGCTTTATAATCAAACTGTTGGAGGAAAGCGTGATAGGGTTTTTCTTTGCTTATCATGCAAGAAAATGCAATGTAACCAATATTATAAGCATCAAGAAGCATATATATTTTATCATTTCTATCTTCTTTAAACCATCATACTTGTTTTCTGCCAAAATTTAACACTTTTTTTACACATGCATTCTGATTTTTACAGACCATCACTTCACTTAACAGCAGAATTCAGTATCACTTTCCAAAGCATTCCTAACTTGAATTCTCATTCAACAGAGAAACCAACCATCATTAAAAATCCCCCATGCCAAATTTTAAGTATATCACGACCTAATTTTTCCTTGGAAGTTGCAGGAGAAACATGAAGCATCTCTACTTGAATGTGCATTTGTTCAGTGGATCCTTCAAAAAACACCGCGCTGAGCTCTAAGTGGATCCAAAAGATACAAGTCAAAATGTGCTGCCTCCTCTCCCACGTGTGCCACCGCCTGGTGCTCTTATTGCTATTGTCAAGAAAACGTGCTGACCGCTGGCTCACTAAGAGCAGGACTTGGCTTTTGCCACACATTTCTGAATTCTTGAAACAGAAAGGGATGGATGGGAAAAAAAGGAACGGGGGATGAAGGAAGAAATTTGAATTTAGATGGGGTTATTTTCCTAGAAACTACTTACAGGGAACATATGACAAACACCACAGCATATGGAGGTGGAAACAGTTTAAAAATTCATTGTTTTCTGATTAACACCCGTTATTTCTTTACCTCATGAAAGGAACAGAGAAAAAGGAAAAGAGAGAGAGTAGCATTAGCAAAGAAAACAAGCCACAAACCTGAAGGACAGGCCCGATACTGTCATCTGCATTCTCACAAACATCCTCCAAGTTTTCAGAGCTCTGTGCTGATTTTCTTGACAAACTTTTGCCTGTTACTGAAAAAAAAAATTATGCTGAGTTTTTAAGAATCATGTTTTTAAGAACCAAGATAGCACCGTTCTCTGATAGACAGAACACTAGGTGCATTTTTCTTTACACTTGTACCATTAAACTTGCCACCATTAAACTAACATTTCAGGGCCATTATACGAAACACAACTGCACTACCTGGGGGCTTCTGAGATAACTGCATCCATGTCAGGCTACATCAGGATTCTCAAGCTTCTGATCCAGCCCACTTTTCTATTTTGATAGAAAGCCAAAAAAGTGTAGTTTTGTGTGTGTGTGGGGGGGTTGGTTTTTTTTTTTTTTTTAATTCCTGAATATTTGAGAGCCAGACTGTATTATCTAGCACCACAACAGACAGAGGACACTGTCTGGTTTTATAGAGAAACTCTGACTTTTTTAACATGGTCTACCAAACTCATTCAAGCACAGTTGAGGGAAAAAGCGGCAAACTTAATAGTCCCYGCACTACCTGGAGAATGTACTTGGCTGAGTCAGAGCAGAACAGAACAGCTTTTTGAATCCTGCCCAACAGAAACACGACTATTTGAAAAGCCTCTGCTCATTTTCCAGCACTTCCTCCTCACCTTTGGTTGTAAGCACCTCTTCATTTCCCCCCTCATCATCTTCAGAGAGATCTTCCTCCTCACTGCTGCTGCTCAGTTCTTTCATCAGGTCCTCAATGGCATAGGGTGACTGATCCACAATGACCTCAAAGATGCCGTTGGCAATGGCGTGCATGAGGCTGTGACTGCATGGCAGGAGAAGAGGGATGAGAGGGAAAAGGGAGATTCCACCCCCACCCACACCTCCCTTTAAAAACTGGATGTTTCAGGGACATAGGGAAAGTGTGAAAGGAAGGAAGGATTAGGGAGAGCATCTAGTGAACTTGTTATTTTCTAAACAGCAGCCCTTTAAGCCCAAGAACCACTGCTGAGTAGTGGTTCTGCCCACATTCCCCTCTTCAGTTCCCCCTGTGCTTATTGGCAGCTCTGAATTACAGCTGCAACAACAGAGACACTCTCCAGCTCAGCTGTTCTATGCATGTTTAAAAAAAAACAAACCAAAAGAGATTAAGAAGATTCTTATAAATCTAAAATATTTATCTACAGCTTTGATAAGCAAGAGTTATCTTCAAATGATTGTTCTAATAATTAGAACCTCCTGCTTTCTCTATATTATGATGTACTATGGCTCTTGTTTAACCCATTTATTAGCATATGGAGAGGTAGGTGCCGAACTTCTTAATTCTTAAGAATATTTACCCTTTCACTAAACTTACTCCTTTGATTTGGCAGCAATTTTGCAGAAAGGTTCAATGAACTTTAGATTCTGGTCAGCTGTGAGCTGTATAATTAGAAAGAAAAAAAATAATACAATACATATTACAGGTCCACCCAAATTCCTTTGCTGTAATGATATGCTGTAATGTGTATTTTCTTAGAAGTTAAGTCAACATTTGTCTCATTCCAACTGACATAAGTATCCAGTGACTTCTGCTTATCACTCTTACTACACATTCCAGCTCTTCCCTAGATGCATTCCAAAAATGCCACTTTGCAAAATTTAGATTGCCGTACTTGGAAATTAATGAGACTTATCTCAGGGAAAAGCAAGGCAGAGAAAGCTTAAATAACGTGGTGCTCTTTCACCAGAAAAGCCTGTGGCACAGACCCCAAGAGCTGATCTTCTCTTACCCTGCTCTCTTGGACCAAAACACTGTCAGCTACAGTAGCACTACAGATCCTTTCCTAAGCTCACTTTACTAGCACTGGCTGAGATTTCAAAAAGCCGGGGGGTCCTGGATTCTCTGGAACCCCCCCCCCCCAGTGGCTAAGTTGTGGCACAGAGCTTCTACTACTGCAGGGCTGCAGAAGCCATCAGGTTTCCAGGAATGGGCACTTCCGTGGAGCTGGCATCTCCTCCATCCACACTGCACAAGCACAAAAGCTGCAGGGCAGGACCTCTTGCACTAACGACTCCAAACACCACACACAAACGCAAAACTGCCAGCAGCTCCTGCTGGACATGTCCTCAACTGATAGGAGACGTGTTGGGAGYTGGCACCTAGCCACATGCGGGGCAGCAGAGAGGTCACTCCAGTGGGGTGGCACAGAAAAACTCTCCGGAAAAAGAGTGACAGCAGGGACAGCTACAGCAACAGAATCTCAGTTGCTGCCAAACTCTGCAGCACTAAAAGATCAGCCAAAATTAAAGGCAACTATTTCATGAAGACAGACAGTATTCCACAACAGAGAAAGATGAACTGCACTGAGATCTTCACATCAGTAAATGAAGGTTAACTTGCACAGTGCACAGGTCTGAAGAAACTCAGTAGCTCACTTTCTTCCTCTATTCTACAAACGTCCAAGAGCAAGTTTGATATCAGTTTCTATATACAGTTTTTATATAGATTTTTTAAGAAAAAATCAAAACAAATCAAGAAATCAAACAAAAACAGCACAAAAGCAAAGTCTGTCAAAAACATTCAGCCAAGGAAAAAGGGTCTGAACACGTTATTAAGGCAAATGGTAAAACTTTTCTTCTTCCATTTCCTACCTCAGCCTGGACCATTATACCCATGTTCACAACCTTACAGCTGACACATACAACAATTTATCATATTATAAATTATAAATTAATTATAAGTTGGAATTATAAACTATAAGATTTTCACTGCTAAGCATACATGGTACAAAAATGTATTTCCTTCAAAACGATGCATGCCACATCTAACCTCAGGAAGAGAATTACAATGTGCTTTCTAACCTCCTTTGCACCAACTTTAGCCAACTCRTCCAGGTAAATATCAATGAAATGGAACTTTATTCCAATGGGAGCATTGCTGTCTGGGTCCATAACTTCTTTCATTAACAGCTGCAAGAATGACTCAATCAGACTGGAGAAAGAGAGAGAGAGAAAAAAARACCATTCTCAGTCAACTGCTCAGGCTCTGTTTAAAAAAACCAAATGATTCAGTTTTACCACTATACCACTACTCAGTTTTACCACTATAAAAAACTCTGCTCTTAAAAAAAACCCAAATGATTCAGTTTTACCACTATTTTAAGATGGCTGTTTACCACCCACAATAAAGATGGAGGTCAGACAAATGCAAGGCCCAATTTTCACATTAAAACAAACAAACACACAGTAGTCAGAACACCTTATGGTCTAGATAGGTTTGTAACACCAGACAGGCCACTCAAAACGATTCATTTGCTAAATTAAAGTTGTATGGCTTTAAAATTCACACCTTATTTTGAACTAAGCTGATTATGGCATAAAATGGACAGGCAGGGAAAAGGCTTTTGCCATTTGAGCAGAGCATCCCTGAGGAGTCAGCTGATGGTGCCCGTCCATGCTGATGGGCACCCTCTCCTTTTATGAGATGATTTGCTTTGACACACACGCAGCTGTTCAGCTTTAAATTGATCCTTCTCAAACTCATTTCAACTGCACAGGCTTTACCTTGGCTAAAGCATGTCATCCTATGTCCCAGTTATATTAACGACTATATTRCAGGCTAGGCCAGGAGTACAAAACCCATTCCAGTAGCTCCACTAAACTAATGGACAGCACCAAAAAGAGCCTGGCCCCATCATCTTGCCATCCAAACATCAGATACTTGTAAGGACTGACAAGATTTCTCTGAATTTTCTGTTCTCCTGGCTAACCTGTTGTGCAGATTGCTTTCTCAAATTCCCTACTATAAAATACACACTTAACTGCTTAGGCAAACCTAAGAGCAGTGTATATTTAATTGTAATGTATATTTTATTTAATAAAGTGTAACATAAGCTGTCTAGTTGAAGAAGAAAGCAGAAGGGATGATCCAGATAGTAAATAAATCTTTGTGTTAAGACTTCCTGGCAACACTACCCATAGAAGAAAGTGCATATTATTTGATATATCAAATATTTGATACTTAAAATATATTCAATAAAGCATCAAATATACCCAGTGCTTCTTTAAGGCACAGTCACTTTGAAGCCTCCTTACCTTTCCTCCCAGTCACTTCTTCTCAGGACTTCGAAGGATTGCCTCAAGATCATACGAATTAGCTGCAAATACAAAATTCATTACTAAACGTTCACGAAAACAGAAAAAAAAAGGGTTGCTGTTACCGTAACATAAACGTATTCCTTACTAAAGCTCTTTGTGGCACAAGATGGAAAACTTTCTTACATTAATGTTTCGACAGACCTGTCTGTCACATCAGGCAGAAGGATGCTGTGAAGCTCTAATACAACCTGCCACTACCATATCCCAAGTCAAGCAAAACCAGTGACTGCCTCTTCCTGGCCCATCGCCCAATTTTCTTCATTAAGTGCTCACAAAGCTACAAAAGTTACAATTTAAAGAAACTGGAAACAACAATAGCCAATAGATGATAAAAATAATTGTTTGTCTAAAAGGAATGAAACTTTCACCAAGASATAGCCATACATAAAACAACTGCATTCAACTGACTCAAAAGTCTTCACTTTTTGAAAAAYGTTGCTCTGCTGACATCAAGAAATAAAATACAGTAGTGAATGCACCTGCAATTAACTTCTTTTAAAGAAAAAAAGATTAACTTTGTTTTATTACTAAAAAGGTAGGTTTTCTAAGTGTTTTCTCCCACTGGTTTTACAATCTTTTTTATCACAGTGTTTCCTATTCGAAGAATTCTGAAAGCTCTAATGTACTACAGTGCAAGAATTCAGTTCTACTGACAAATACCTTATATCAGAGCTCTCAAAAAGCCTGCAAGAGTCTGATCTAAATGACTGCTGATGACGCAGTGCCCAGTGAGAGTGCCTGTGTGCAGCAAGGGCACTTAGGCATGAAAGCAGCTTCCCCTCCAGGTCTCCCCTATGGAAAGCAATGGGAAGCAGTCTATGGTATGCAGCAAGGCAAACAAACACAGTCACTTGCAACAAGACAAACTGTAATGAATTTCTGATTTGTAATGGTGAGTGAAGGCCTTTTAAAAAAAACATGGGTTGCAATCTGTCTCAGGATAAGCCTTTTGTTACAATATACGAACACATGCACAGATAAATCTGTCTTCCAGACCACTATCGCTATTTATAAAAGATCTATTTAAAAAAATAGGTAGCATTACCATATAGTACTTATCAAGACGCAGACCATCCAGTCCATTCCATTCACGGTTCATCGTTTGCCAGAAAGTCTGAACGAAGAGGTGTTCTGGAACAGAACCAAACCCACCACAGCATAAGAAAAGGCCACGACCAAACCTGYATGCCTGGCTGGCAGCTTTTGCTGCTTTTGCTAACCTAAAGAATCTCAGGAAGCCTTCAACCTGGAAAACAGCCACAGTTTCCTCACGATTTACCCAGGGATTGGAGTGCTGCAGTGGGAAGACATGCTGGAGGCAGTCGCAAGGACAGGTTACTTAAACCTCAGGGCAGTGTAAGCCAAGGCACGCTGCTACCTTCAAGCACACATGTAACTGCACAGACAGGTGTAATAACACAAATCACACAAACTGAACTTTGTATGTATTTTGCATTACACCTCCACATGGCAGAGCATCACATCCATTTGGCATTGATTTCACTCTTGCTAATTTTGGCATTAATTAAGCACCACAGACAGAAACAATGTTGAGGAGCAAGTAGCCAGAACAAATAGACTGAGAATCTAGTTCTCGACTGGGAAAGCAAGGGGACAAGTCTGCTTTGTTATCCACCATGCAAAGGCTAAGCTTTATCACACTGGAAATGCAACCCTTGCCTGCAAAAAATAGGACAAAAAAAAAAAACGCACATGAATCAGAGTCTAGATGCCTCCCTTAATGCAATCACATATATTAGTTTCACAAAAAGTAAAGAASAAAGAATCACTCATATCTGGCAATGTGAGAGACTCAACACCTCCATCCATAAAAATACGTTTAAAAAAAGAAATAGTACTTACGAGCCTCTGAGTTCTGAATAACRTGGATAAGCTGTGAGATGTTATTTGCTAGTTCCTCCTAAAAAAAAACAAATAAATACAGTCAYTAGCCTGTTTCAGAGCTTGGTCCCACTAAAAATACTTTATATTTGTACTTTATGGTTTTGGTTGTAACACCCACTAAAGTTAAAATTATTCTTTGAACAGCTGCTTTAGTACTGTAGCAATCCTTCCACTGGAATTACGTTATTTGGAAAAGAAGACTCAAGGGTATCAACCTCCATTTAYAGGGAGGTCATCTTCTGCCCAAGTCATCTTTTGATAGTAGAATATATAGTTATGAGATAAAAACCCCATACATTTGAATTTATCAATGATGTTAATATAAAGAGGCATTGTTTACATGTAGCTTACTCATATGTAGGGCWCTCTGTGAGATATCTATGAGATATCTCATAKATATATATGAGAGATATCTATGAGATAACCTTGTTCATGCAAGTGGACAAGAAATTTGAAAAACGATTGAGAGAACTAAAACTTGGAGAAAGAAATAATCATAATCCAGAACTGGTAACATGGAAGTAGTGTGACAAACTGGAAGAGGGAGTAAAAAACTGGTAGGATATGAAGCACTATTAAACTCTTTGTACTAACAAAAGAAAAGTAAAAAGCTTTGAAATGAGGCTCACTCAAGCCCAAACATAAATTGCAGGTGCAATTGAGGGCAGTGTGCTAGGATAGCTCCCATTCCACCAAAGCAATGTGCAAAACAATGCACATTTCAGCCTGGTTTTGGAAGGTAAACATCTCCCCCTTCCTATGAAGGGCTGACTCTGGACACCAGGCTGCTTAGGCTTCTGTTCCGATGTGAGGACCAATGAATCAGTCACATACACAAATGATAGAGGAAAAAAAAGAGAGTGAGATTCACTAAGGTCTGTTTCCCCAATGTAATTTACTATGTCCCTGCAAAACAGTGTAGAAAAAATGTACTCAGGCAAACAACAAGCCAACACTACCTGCAGCAGAGGTTTATCCTGCATCCACATGCAGTAGAACAGACCCTTCCATATTTTCAGAAGTTCTTCCTCGCTGAAGCCACCTGCAGTGCAGAAGAAGTCTGAATAAAAAAATCTTGCATCTCCAGCAAGACATTTTCAAGCATTTTTCTCTGTTTCTCCATCTCCTCCTGGTCTTTTTTTTTGCTCTCTTGGGCCATGAGAAAACTAATCAGAAGGTCAATTTGTGCAGCTCAGCGGTCCCATACCCTTAAGCATCTATCTTCCCTCGCAAGTAACAGAGATTTTGAAGAAATCAGATGAGATAAACACTAGGCAATTCTCACAYAAGGCTGCCAGCTCAGCCTTGTTCCCTCTGATATATTTTTAGCACAAAGTCAGAGTGTTATTTTTGATGAGAACAACCTATCTAGTTTTACAAGAGARGCAACACGTAACCCTGGGATAGTAACTGATTTAACAACGCCTTTTTATTTTTTTCTTTTARTATTAAAGTCTCACTTTAATACTARGCTTGTTCTTTACTAGGGGCATCTTCTGACAACATAAGACTTCTGACAATCAACARTTTTCCTTCTGCATTAAATTAAGATGAATACTAAGAGTCTAAAGATCTATAATTAAAATATTCTCATTAGTGTTAAAACTGAGGTGACCTCAGTTTTACTGAGTTTTAAAACTGTCCTAAGTTTTAAAACTATGCCAAGTCTARCAGTATTTTTTTTCAATATTAATGCAAGCATTCCATTCTTGTCAAAAATTCTGTATTAGAGAAGGGAATAATTACACAGAAAATAAAATTTTACTATCAGTAGCAGCTGCTCAATAATATTTTGAAGACAGGAGTATTAACGATGTCAAATATAGTTCTGAGGGGTTATTATAGCAGCCTATAAAGTAGCCACAATGACCTACTAATGCTATTTTCAAACAATGGCCTGATGAGTACTTTAAAGCAACTTCAAGAGAATCATTCAGAAAAGGTAATTATCTTCAGTAAGCTGAAATTTGCTCCGAGATCCTTTTTRGCCAACCAGAAAAACCTCAGAGCCAGCGTGGAGGCTAAACTGAGCACCTCCTCCTGGGACTCAGGCATTTGCAAACAATTATCACTACTTCATCATTCTGTACTCAGAAAATTGTCAACAGCTGCTGCTCTAACTGCTTACAGTCAGGCTCAGTTAAAAAGATTCCAAGTAAACCCGGGTAAAGCAAATAGGCAAAAGGCTACATAGGAAACGGTATGTCCTTTAAGCATGAATTATATATCACTATTATAATAAATCTAAGTTGGATTTAACATTAAATGTTAAGCAGATTTGACTCTCTGATTTAGTATTTATTAATAAATTGCTGTTAATTTTARTATTTTAACAGCTATATGTGCAACATGTAGCAATAAGAAGAATGCTTAACCTCATAAATAGCAGAGCTCTATAGAGGCATCAGGCTCACGTGCAGATGCTGCCAGCTGCTAACTGTAAGGACATCTGAAGAGGGTTTCTTGTGTAGGGAACAGAGACTTTCACAGGGTCATTTTTCATAAACGGAAGGCTTTTTATTTATTTATGTTTCCCAGGCAGCCCTTTCTTCAATTTGCCAAGGATCTAATGCTCCAGAGTAAACTTCTTAACCTAATCACTCAGAAAGAGCTTTCAAGATTTTAAATCGCCATTTTTCCACTAGCTGTGCCTTTCTGCCACCACCCAACAACAGGCCATAATGACTCGAGTGAAATTATTTTATAACCTGGAACCTACTTTACTAGCAAGAATGCTATGGTAGCTTTACTACCAAGGGCTATGAAAAATTTCCCTGAGGAGGATGTCACTGACAACTCCACCTGCTCTTTCAGATGTTAACACAGTCTTGAAGGTTCAGCTTAACTGGGGACTCTGGCAGAATGCTGCAGAGTAATGCTGCTAGTTTGAAGATTAACAGAAACAAACAAAAATCAAGCAAAAAAACCAACCCCCAACCACCTATCTCCCGACTATAAGGCTTTTTTCCCCAAGTCCAAAGAAGTTAGCCATGCCCTAATTATATTAGAGTCATACATAAAAGCAAATTTTAGAAGCTCTGCAGATTAATCACTCCAGTTTCCTACTAACTTGCCTTTCATGGTGAGCGGACTCTAATATGCAAAAGGTTCATGTTCTACCTGACAATTTCCCTGGGGAGGTTCCCAACACATAGGGCATTTGCTTACACTGCAAGTGTTTCCCRGAGTCAGGATACGTACAAAGGGACTGTCCCCACCACGTGGCACAGACTGACAGAAATCCGCACTTGCACTTTTCCAGGAGAAGCACAGAGCCAAAAGTCACACTCACACACACATCTGATGAGGTTTCCAAAGCCCAAAATAGCTGGAAGCTCTGAAAACTCTCCTGAGGAACACGATGTACATTTTACTCACTCTTACTCTTCCCYATACATACCTATGATTTATGGCTACTGTAAGAAATGGGATAAGGGGCTATCCGGCCCTAAGGCCTGACCCAGTAACACTATTCTAACATACTCTTCCTCTGTCAAATGTGGCTAAGATGATCCAAACAGATCACGAGCTATYTGGAAAGAGAAGAGGGAGCAGGCAGGAATCAATGTACAGTCCCTCCTGGCTGTGCAAAGAATTAGCTTGGTTYTGAGCAGCCTCCTGGGCCCAGTTTAGCTCTTGGGGTGTCGGATCCGTCGCTCACATCCAAGGGATCGCACACGGGTGCTTCTGAGCTCCAGCTCTTAGACAGCTCCACACTGTGCTCCCTATTATCYCAAGACAAGAGACTTCTGAGCTGGTTCCATGCATTCACAGTGCTCTGATGTACCTCGTGCTACAGGAGCTTCCTAATGCACGGAGGGCTTCACACCAGCAAGGATGAGGCCAGTAACTCCAGTGCAACCCAGGCTGGCCTGGTCCTACAGCAGCACTACAGAGCTATGGGAAAGTCACCAAATCCTGCCACGATACAGCTAAACCCCCACGGAGGTGGAGATCCCAAGCAACGCTGATGATCTCAACAGGTAACTGTGAATCTCTTGCAACTAAACCGCTCCTAAAGCTTTTCTGAGCTCTCCCGATTCCCTGCAAGGCTCCGGGACCCCCGCTGCRGGACACCAAGCGGCCCCGGCCACCCCGTGGGGTTGCAGGCGCCGTGGCGGCGGCCCCACGGCCTCACTGCCTAAAGTGAGGTAAGGCACACGGGGAAGAGTTRCAAATAAAGGAAGATAAATTAACACATTAACAATAAAAACGGAGAAAACGGCGGCAGTCCCGACGCGGAAGGCAGCGCCCGGCCCTCCCTCCCTCCACACGTGCTTCCCCCCCACACCGCAGGGGCGCGTTTCCAACGGGCGCCGCGTCCCCCGCGGCGGCAACGCCAGCCCCGAGCAGCGCATCCGGCCCCGGTGCCGCCGCCGCCGCCAGCCCGCCCGGTGCGGTGCTGGTGCCGCCGCCGCCGGGCCGCGCTGGGCCGTGCCGGTCCGGTCCGGTCCGTACCGCGGGGCCGCTGCGTGCGGAGGCTCACGTAGCCGCGCAGCTTCCTGAGGGCGCGGTCGCGGATGCGCTTCTCGTTGGCGGCCAGGCGCTGCGCGAGCTGCACCTCGGGCGCGTGCAGCGCGGCGGGAGCCATGGCCGCCGCGCCCTCCTCTTCCTCTTCCTCCTGCTGCTGCTGCTGCTCCGCGCCCGCCGGCGCCGCGCGATGGCGTCAGCGCGCGCCGCACCACGGGACGGGACGGAACGGGATGGCGGCGTCCCCAGGAACGGGGTTCCCGTCGGCGGGACCTGCYTCTGCAGCGAGCCTGCCCACCGGGGCCGTGCCCTGAGGGCTGCAGCTTCTGCTGCTGGCAGCAAGCGTGGGGCTCTTGCCAAAGGCCTGGACCTCTTCAACGCCATTGTTTATAAAACCACCCTGGTTTAAGTGTGCTTTTATTTGCTATAAATTGCATTTCTAGGSTCGGTAGACATTAAAGCGGGTACTTTATAAAGTCTTGTTACTCTTGCGCACTTSACACCGCTTTGCATGTGGTGGGTCGGCCCCCAGTTTGTCAGGCTGCCCCAGGTGCTCAATGCCTGCGTTAACACGAAGCCCAGTTGCTTCAGGAAGACCGATCAGGTGAAAATTCTCCCTTATCCACTGCTTTAGTGATGTTTTTTCAAGAGCAACAGTAAAGCAGCCTATCCTGTTAATGAGTGAAACTTGCCAGCACAAAATGTCCCAAAGCAGAACCGATGTTTAAACCTTTATGCTTTTTAAGCTTGACTAGGGGGCAAGATGGTAGCATCTGTACAATTTTCTGTGAAAATTAAAAAATCAAAAATAAAGAAACCCCACAGGTTATGGCAAAAAGCGCAGCAGTGATTCCCACTCAGCCAGGCTGGTACCAGCGCCCTGGGGCGGAGCTGGGCCCTGGCAGCCATTTTAGCGCATGGGCCTCCCTGTCCCTGGGGGAGCCGTGGGTCCTCCCAGCTCTTGTCCCCAGGGAAAGAGCGAAGGCCTCGGCACCATTCCCTGTGTCAGCTATCAGTGTGAGGAGGCGGCAGGAATGTCAGCGTTGGAGTTGGGAGTGGGACGTGCTTCCGAGCGGTGCCTGGGAGGTGGCCAAGCGGGCAGCGAGGCAGYGGCGAACACCCGCACAGTGAGTGCACCGGGAGAGCGCGGGAGGACACCTTAGCGCGGTCGGACGAGGAGAAGGACAGGGGTGTCACGGCTCTTGCTGCTCYGTGCTGAGGAGCAGCGCTACAGGAAAGACACGGAGCGTGTCCAAAGGAGGGCAACAAAGCGGGTGGATGGGCTGGAGGAGAGACCTGAGGGAGCTGGGGCTGTTTGGTGCGGAGAAGGCTCCCGGCGGACCTTTCCACCCTCTACAACTGCCYGGAAGGAGGTTGTAGTGAGGTGGGGATTGGTCTCCTCTCCACAATAACTACCCATAGGACAGGAGGAAGTGGCCTCAAGTTGTGCCAGGGGAGGTTGAGGTTGGRTATTAGAATTTCTATGTGGAAAAAGTAGKCAAGCTCTGGAACAGGCTGCCCAGGGAAGCGATGGAGTCACCAGCCCTGGTAGTGCTCAGGGAACGTGTGGATGAGGCGCTGGTTGAGTGGGATGTGGTTTAGTAGGTGTSGTGAGGGGTTTGCAGTTGGGACTTGATCATCTTGAAGATGATTATGTGAATAAGAAAAAAAAGGGGGGAATGCAACAGAAGTCCTGTGTAAGGGGCTTCACTTGCCATTGTATGACAACAGTACGAAGGCCCCCAGGAAGAAGTAAGAGCACAAGCGAGGGCCAGGTGCCCCCGGCGCGAGAGCCACGTAACCGACAGCCTCGGCCCGGGCCAGAGACAGCGCCGARCGCCCGGGCGCCATGACGGCCCCAACCGCCGCGCCGCGCGGGTGTGGCGGGGCGTGACGTCATCGCCCCGCCCCCGCGGCGCGGGCGCCATGAGGCGGCGCGCGGGGCCGGCGGGCGAGGCGCAGGTAGCGCGTGGGGGTCCCGTGGGGCCGGCCCCGGCAGCCGCGCGTGGGGTCCGCCGTGTCGGTCTGCGGTCTGAAACGCGCCCCGCTCCGCGCCCCCGGCGCCTTTGGGGCCCCTGCGGCGCCGCGCAGGCCCGGGGGTGGCTTGTGGGACAGCCGTGGCAGAGGGTCCCCCTTTGAGGGAGAGCGTGTGCTCGGAGTTGTGCGGTGGGGTTTCAGTTRCCCCCATGGGCCAGTGGAGCCCGTGAGGAGCGAAGCGTCCGTTTCCCGTCTCAGCCGTCCTTACTGCACGGAAGGCTGCTTTCCATCCTGTATGTTTGTTGGTGCGTGGGAGATGCTGAGTGCCTGCCTGTGCAGGGAAAACAAATCCTGCCTGCCACARCTGCAGTGTTGTGAAGGTGAAATGTGTTCACACTGAGAAATACGGGTGGTTTTCTCCACGTTATATGTTCCGTGTCTCCAGCCCAGCGTTTTGATAGCRTATTTCACTTGAGTTTAGCTTCTTCTAGTGAACAGAGATTTTTTTTCCGTGCCTATGCTGAGTTTTGCCCCATAATTTTGAACAATACTGAATAGTCTCCCTGACCTCTTTGTGTGACCATGTATTTGCTGATACAAGGGGTGCTGTTTCTGCCCCCACTCGGTGCATTCTTGAGATATGAATGGGTTGAATCTTTCCTGCATGTGGTAGGTTTTGGCCATCCTGACCTCACTGCAAGCACTTGGTAAATACGGCTTAGAGTGTAAAAAACATGGTGGAAATAAATATCCTTCTTCTGTGTCTTTGCTGCTGCTCTGTGTCCTCCTAACCCAGAAGGCCTGGGAGCCTGGAGTGTTCTGTGCCCAGAAGCACATGGATTTGGAGGAGAGTGGGGAAGGAGTAGATGAACAAGCAAAAATGGAAGGGAATGGTTAACCTGAGGAAGCTGAGAAGCAAGAAGAGAAAACAGTTGCAGAAAATGATCGCAAAGGACAGAAATGCCAATGTGGCATTTTYCCTTGGACTGAGCAAAACTCCTAGTGGAAATGACCTTCATTTGCCTCCTGCTGCTGGGCCAGAGGAGGCAGTGGAGGTGGCTCGGAATGCAGTGTCTTCAGGAGAGAGCTGCTTCTGTAGATCTGTAGTGCCCCCTTCCCCCTGAACTGGGAAGGCAGGAGCCTTGCGGAAGGAATCTCCTCACTGCTTCAGCACCACTCTCAAGAGAGAGAAAAAACCCGGTGCATTGATATGGTGTRATTTTGCTTTATGAAAACATACTGGGTGTTTTGGGCAAAGGAAATTAAACCTTTCAGTAATTGCAGATAGATGGTAATCTTTTCAAGATAKGGCACTGTGCACATATGTATACACCAGAAATGGGAGTTTATTTTTTTGATACAGAAAGTTCTATCTTGTTTTAAAAATGCCTGTTTTCTTGGACAGTGGATTTAAAGTTACAGTGGTAGTTTTGTGTAAGAGCAAATTAGTAAGCATATTTCCTATCTTCACCTGGTATATTACTTTTATTTATGATTGGATTGCAGACTGCATATTTTTCTTTAAATGATTCATTTTCTGTGAGGAGCAAAAACTGTTATTTCCTCTGAAAGAACTATTATAATTTAGCAAGATGGCTGAGCATCTTGCAAATAATTGAGTTAATTTACAAAGTTACATGCACGCCTTAGAACAGTCTCAAAACAATGGCGTAGAGTGTCTGTCGCTCCTCATTTTCCAGCTTTTGTAATCAAATTACTTTTTACAGTGTTCTGAGATATGCTGCACACATTTTAGACAAAGAAACAGATGCACAGAGGTATTATGTTTTGCTCTAGGCCACAGTGGCAAAAATGAGGTTAAAGTCAAAGAGTTCTTACCTTGGAAACTCTTTTTGAGTTTTGGGTTATTGCTAGATAGTTCTTTTAAAATAAGATTCTGTTTTTCTGAAATGATGTAATACRGAGGAATATTTTTTTTTCTGAGGGAAGAGATGAAAAGTGAAGAGCACTCACAACAGTGGTAATGTGTCTGTTTGTTTGCATTTCAGAAGGCTGAAACCGAAGATGACTTTGTTAAAGTTAAAAGGAGGGATCTGGAAAGGCTGACAACGGAGGTTATGCAGTTGCGGGATTTCTTACCCAAAATACTGGCTGGGGATATCTTGGGGACATTCCAGAAACTGGATGCTCTTGAATCAAGTTAGTTGAACCATGTTACAAGCTACTATAGATAGTTAATTTTGTTCTTACTGCCAGTTACTGCAGGAGCCTTGGAAACTATTTTCGCCTTACTGTGTGTGACTTGGTCCCTGGAGAAATGCCAGGGACATTGATCCCGTGGAGCTTCCCATACGACATTGATCCCGTGGAGCTGCCATTCCATCACTCCTTGGCGTTTGCTACGACTGTGCCCAGTTCTTCACTTGCCACAGCTTTGAGATTGGGTTTCTGGTCTGGAACATCTGGTATAACGTGTAGGATGGAGCCCAGCTGGCCTGCAAGGTGCCTCAGTCATGTCCAGTGCCTCATTCTGCTTTGGGGCCTGSCAGCTACGTGTTTTTTGGAGGTAGATGTACCTGGAGCTGCAGCGGGCAAGTGCTATGTCGTGTTGACATGAGAATGCCCTTTCCTCTCCTTGGCTCGTGCAGGCGGCTGGTGGAGACCAGTGAGAGACCCTGCTGTGCAGGCAGAGAGCAGCACCAGTGCAGCGGTGCAGTGTCAGTAATGCGGCTGCCTGGGCCTTCACACAGCACAAAAACACTGCCAGGATAGTGTGAAATGCTGGGAGCAGCCCTTGAATTCCCTTCAGATCAAAGGAGCACGCRGCTGGGCAAACTGGCTGAACGTGGCAGTTCAGGGAATGGGGAAGAGTTTGGGAATAGGGCAGAGCTGGAAATGGGTTTCTTTGCATCAACTTTTTTAGTTTGGCTATTGATATCGTTTTATTTTTGGTAAATGCATTCCTAAAAGAATTGCCCATATGTAAGGCATCGCTTATGAAGTATGTTAAGCTTATGGCATTTATGTTATGCTTATGGCATTTATAAGTTATGTTTATGGCATTTATGATCAATGGGGTGGAGCTTGAAGTTAAATGTCTGTTGCCTTTTATACTGGTAGCAAAAATTAGAATAGATGCTATTTGCCCATTACTTTTTGGAGTTATTGAAATGCCTTTTTTTATTTTTATTTTTATTTTTTTTTTGCTATCCACTAAGCATCCAGAAGAATGGTTCTCAAAATCCACATAAATTTCAACAGTTGTTAAAAAAAATACCCCTCAAAGTGAATTTTTCAAAACTGACCTTAGGGTGTTGAAATGCAGTATTTTTCAGTAGATTTTCATTCATTAAAATAAAGCATCTAAAGTGAAATGTATTTCTGATAGCATCTGACCCTTTTTAGGGAAACAATGGATAAATTTGAGTTGTCACTGAAATAGTGTTAAACATTCTTATATCCCGTATAAACATTAATTGCAAACATTGGATTTCTATTACATTTTTATTATTCCTGTAATTTGTACATCATGTATTGAACCACTCTTTTCTSACTAATTTGTTATTCTTTTACTTGGATTTTCATCATACCTTCAATTGAACTTCAAGGATAACAGAAATCTGCAGATCAGGAAAACCAATCACAAGTAGAAAATAACCTCTATTTTTTAAAATCCCAGGAAGAATGGAGCTCACTTCCAAAACTGTATCCCAGCCATGCACAGTATTTAATAACCAGATACAGTTCTTTCTGGTTTTCCTGTTTGCGGATTGGAAACATCGTGTTCTTTTGATTTTGTAAGAACTGTTGAAATGTAACCAATTGCTATATACCAGTTTAGCCACGAGGAGGACGTCTAACACAAGCTAATATTTAAAGCACTATCATTAACACTGCATTTGGAAGATTCATTTTTCTGTAGTGCACACCAGTTGGTCATAACTGATTATTTCATTTATCTAATTTATTTTATCACAGACATGGAGAAAAAGGAGGAAGAAGTAGAGCAGCTGAAAATGGATTGTGAACACTTCAGAGCCCGCCTGGAAATAGCCCAGGCAGACTGTATGAGAGAGAAGAAGGTAAATTTACTGGCAGACAGAATAGTGATAGCTGCGTGCCTGACTTTTAGCAACAAAAGCAGTTAATAGTTTTGCATGTTACGCAATAGTTCCTTTAGTCCTTGGAAAACAATCTAGGATTTACATAGTCAGGTGATGAGTAGATTTCTACCTAGAAATTTGTAATCTCTTGATTTTTTTTTTTCTTTTTTTAGTGTTTCTAGCACAAGAGGATCGATACTATAGCTAGATAAAATGTAATATGGTGCCATATGTACTATGGTACCAAAAAAGGCATTTAATGTGTTGCTCCCCTACTTGCACACATAGCCATTCCATGACTACTCAGATCTCCCTCATTCCTTTCCTGTGTGAGGTGCAGTTCACTGCATTGCGTTTGGGGGCTTTTGGCAAGGTTTGACCGTAAATTTTAAGTCTTTTTCAATTCACCTGTTTATCCAGTTGCCATGTACAGCCATGAATCAAAGAGTTACACAGCTCATTTTGCAGTGTCAATGTTGCGTTATAAAAAAATTGATTATAAAAAGTGATAATAGAAAGATGGGAGACTCTTAACAATGAGGGAATTAGCAAGACCACATAGGGTTCTGGAGCTGGTATCTTCCGGCCATGGGATTGCAGGAAGACAGATGAACCTAGGTGCTTGATTTCATTTCTAAAAAGAAATAGATAAAAAAAATAAGATGTGTGGCAKCAGAGCAGGTCTGTGTGGGCAAGACAATCTGGAATGAAATCTGATGTGGATGTAAAATTGAGTAGTACTGTGGAACAACTGTCTATCTGAATATTGCTCACTTCAAAGTAAGTATCTTCTGGAATAGCTACTGTGGTTCAGTAGTGGGTACTCAGTTAGTTGGGCTGTACACCCAGGTCCCTAGTTGTCTAAGCATCCAGGTGGAAATTTCCGTAATATTTCATGTTTCTGCTTTAGATGCCAGCTTGTCATTGTTGTGAAGATTGCAAAATAAATGGCAGGTGGTTTAGGTCTAAAATTCCTTTGGGTGAAAGGCTTAATTAAAGCGTGGATTATTTAGTCAGAGTAGTCTGGTGTCCTGGTGTTTCTGGTCAGAGCTCCGCTCCCTGCATCTTTAGTGACAGGCAGTGCACACYGTCTAAATTGCTTGCTATATGCCCCAAAAGGAGTTTCTTTGAAGGGACTGTGCTTGCGTAAGCCGTGAAATCCTTCAGCTCTTCAGGATAAAAGAGTGGTGTTTGTATATATTTGATTGTTCCTGTTAACCACTCGGCACAGTATTTTTCACTCGGCTGCTATTGTATTACTCCTGTATTATAGGCATCCTTGGATATTGTTTCTGAATTATTTCCTACATATTTGTCTTGTGAAGAACAAGGAAGTGATTCACTGAAATGAACATAAAATAAAAGCATCCCTAGTTAGGCAATTCTTTTCTCAGGTGACCATAAACCAACATTTCACATTTCAAATTTTCTTTGGTTTGTTGTWTTGCTGTTTTAGCGAATTCCAATGCTTTCTGAACCTGAGCAGAACTTGGAGTGCCTCAGTTATCTTGGCGAATGTCTGTCTTCTGTGGCATTTCCCAGTGAGGTGCCCGAGCACTGCGGGACTCCTGTGGCTTGGCCCTTCCCYGAAGATGGTGGTGCTGCCCAGCACCCTGATTGCCTGGGGACGTGACCTCCCTCAGGACCGCTGCTTCCAGCTAGGTTATGTTGTTTTGCTCAGTTTAGTTTCCTGGCCCTTGAGTGTAGTATTTGGTCTCCCTCAGTGTGTAACTCTTTTTTTTCTGATGTTGCTTATGATCTATTTAAAATTGAGACTTTTTTTTTTTTTTGGCGGTGGCTTTGGATTCATGTTTAACTAGTATATTTTACAATATCTTACTAGTTTGTATTAGCACCCAACTGCAAACTGCAATCTTTATTAAAAGATAAGTTTAATTAACAAAAAGACAATACAGAAAGGCAAATGAGGGAGGATACAGAGAATAGACAGGAAAATGCCTGCGAACGTTTTGTTGATGCACATGGTGGCAGCAAAGCTGCTAAGCTTGATAGTGAATTATATAAAAGATAAATGGGGCTAACTTAAAAATGAAMGAACTATGCAGAAATAAGTGACTTTCTGTAGACATGGAAGCCTCAGGAAATCAGCAGTGCTGTCTTTTGCATATGTTAAAGTACAAGGTGAAATGGACTCCAAAAAACAAAACAATCAAAAAGAATAGCAAAAGGCATGGAGGTGTACCAGATAAATTTCATTAGAACTTGACAAATCCTCACCCGTGTATTCCATTAGGAGCACRACAAAGCCATGCAAATATGGCAGTCCAGGGTGAGATAGAAGCTAGATATAAGTGTAAATAACTGATGACAAACAGAAGACAAATAACGTTGTGCTGGATCATRTCATGCTACGTACATTTTTAAATGACTTTACCTTTGTATTCTTTCCAACCTCACAAGTTCAAATTAGAGATGAACCTCTAAAGTTCCAAGTACTTATTTTAAAATCTGTATTGGAAGGTATAGTTGATTTTTTTTTTCTTTTTGCTTGACATTAAAAAACGATTCTTTCTCATTTCCTCAGACTTTGTCCCAAAAACCAAATACACAAGGGGCAGGGTGGGCTGAGGAGGCTGTTTTCTGTGATGAATCTGAAAGTCATTGCCCACAAAGTGGGCAGAGCTCATTCCTTCTGTTCCTCCAACATGTGAGGGGCAGTTGTGCCTCTTCTCACCCTTGAGCCAACACTGTTTTTCTTGATGGGCCTTTATCTTTGCCTGCAGYGCTGCTGCTGCCTCATATCACCCCACTCAGAGTTGCCAGAAGTCCCCACTCAGCCACCCTCGCAGGCTGCAGGCTTTGGTGGCCCAGCCTKGGTCTCAGTGACCACATGGGCTTTAAGCTGAGAACTGCAGCTACCTCCTCACTACCTCTGTGCACTTGGGAGGAAGCTGTTGAGACCTGGAAATGTACCTATTTCTCCCTACTGCTCTGGCCAACTTCCAGTGTGACTGGGAAGAAATGCTGGCAGATTAGAGCTGCATCCAGCTCTCGCTGAATTGCTCTGATTTCTCCACTGCTTTATGGCAAGGACCATAGAGCACCTCATGCAGGTGGTGTAGCATGACTGAGCCTGGGCCTTTCTGGTCCTGAGCGTGAAAGGGCCTCCAAACTTCAAACATGAGGCTTGAAACTGCCTTACTTTGCCACTGCTGGTAAGGAAGATGGCAGTGGAAGGAGGGTGGAAGAGAGGATGCAATTTACCCTAAATCCCCACTCTACCCCAACGGCTGAGACAGAAGTCCAGTTTGAAAAAACAAAACAATCCTTCTTCCCTAAAGGGTGTATGCAGTTATCTTTTGTAAATGGCTGGGGAAGCTGACCTGTGCTGCAGAAATCCTTTCCCAGAGAGACATGTAGCTATCTGTGTAGGAGGRGCAGACTTTTCTGTCAGACTGCTCTAGGTGCCGCTCAGTCCCAGCACGTCGCTTGGCCTGACCTTGTGGACAGGCTTCTGGTTCCTGTCAGCCCCCACAATATAACTGAGATAGAGCTCTGGAGAGAAGGTATGTGTGTGGCGCCGCTGAGAACTTGCCCCCTCGCCCTATTTCAGATGAGGCTATGGTACTGCTTCCTGTTCTCTGAGCCTAGAAACACGAGGGCTGACGTGAAATGCAACCAAAATTTCCTTGTGCCCTTTCAGGAGAAGCTAGACCTGCGGCAGCACCTGAACGAGGCTAAGCAGCAGCTCCTGCAGCAGGCGGAATATTGCACAGAAATGGGGGCAGCAGTGTGCACCTTGCTGTGGGGTGTATCTAGCAGCGAGGAAGCAGTGAAAAATATCCTAGGAGCAGTAAGTATGGCAGCTGAMTACCTATTGCTAATGCTGCTAGGTGTTTAAAATAAGTACCATGTATATAAGTGCCAAGTAATAGTGCATTTTAAGAAAACGATGTGTGTTACAAGCTGACTGGAGAGCAGAAATGTTTTCTGAATTGTGTATTCTTTGGGGACTCTCCATTTTAATTTAAGAAGTATAGGAATGGTTAACATACAGCAGGTTAGGAATAAATAGAGTAGTTTTTATGTTGCCAACCAAAGCTTACTCATTTCCTTCCTCACATGGTTAAACCGAAGGCAAAGCTACAGCTAGTAGAATGTAAATATCTACCAGCTGACTAACAGAGGGACAAAACAGTCCTGCATGAATGTGCAGTACTGCCTACCTCATGCAGTGGCTCCCATGCCTGCAGAGAGCTTGGAGGAGCTACTACCATGGAAGGAAGCTCCATCTGTCAATTTGCAGCTCCTTTACATGTGCACCTTAATGTACTCTTTGTGTTGCCCACATACTTGCATGGGTCTGGTACTTRGCCTAGCTGTTGAATCTTATAATAAGTTCAGTAATGAACATGGACTGGTAGCTTGTTAAAAGAGCCAAAACCACAGCAGTTAAAGATAGTTGCATTAATATAATTAACACATTTTCACTGCCAAGTGCAGCTGAAGGAATTGGGAGGGATGAGGGGTGTATGCCCGGTGAGAACACGGTTGAGCATAGCCAGCGAGAGCAGGAATMGATGTATTGGAGCTGAGCGCCCCCATGCCACAGTTCCTTCTGGCTTAGCTTTCGAGCAGCATGATGAGCAACTGGGTGAATAAGATTAGTTCATTTTAATAAATGGTAAGTTAGAAGTTTTGTAAAGGCTTTTCCAGGCCGGGTGCACCAATTTGGAACAGGCTGCCCAGGGAGGYTGTGGAGTCTCCTTCTCTGGAGGTCTTCAAAACCCGCCTGCATGCCGCCCTGTGCCACATGCTGTGGGTGTGCCTGCTTGAGCAGGAAGGTTGGACTAGATGATCTGTAGAGGTCCCTTCCAACCTTAAATATTCTGTGAATCTGTGAATCTGTGAATTTACAATATGTAACTTCATATTGGGTATCAGAAAAATGTACAGTGATACTTTCTGGTCATGCAAGTTACTAAGAAAAAAGTCTGTAAAAACATCTATGTAAAGCAGTTGTTAACAAATAAAGAATCTTTACAGCCAAACTATTACTTTGAAAAAAAAAAAAAAAACCCTCAAATCTCCACATAACAACAAAAGCAGTATAAAAACACGTGCCATATTTTCAGAATAATTAGTGAGGGAGCAGACAGTCTTTCAGGGACTAGTCATTGTTACTTAACTTCAGAGAATTGGTATTGAAAGGGGATGTTTTCTACAAATTAAACATTTGKGCAGTGATGTTATTTAAATGTGGTAGATTTATTTCTACCAAAGTGAGAATAAAATTGGTAGAATATGTATAATATGTATAATTGGCTGAGTATCAAAATTAATAAGACAAATACATTGATTATGTGTTTTAAAATAAAAATGCCTAACTGGGAAGATGCAATAATTTTGTTTCTAGATTTGTTTTGAAATGCAAAATACCTCTACTGTAGCCATTCTTAGCAACCATTCTTAGCAACCAGTAAAGGTCCTGGCAATGTATTGGGGTATTGCTTTCTTGTGATAGTCAGATAACATGGTGAGAAAGATGGCTGGGTTTGCAGCAAGACTTCTAGGAAAAACACCATAAATGGATTGTATGGCATTGCACCAACCACTGTCAGTGAGTCATATTATTAAAATATTGTAGAGATTTGTCATGCAAAGTTTTCATTCTGGTTTATATTTGGACAAGTTATACAGCTTGGAGCATCTTCCCCTCTCCTCTCCGGAAAATGCTGTGAACTACAGAAAAGTATAAGAACATGAAGAGTAACTTCAGTCTGTATCACCCACATTTAAATATGTGGGAAGGGTGATATCAATTTGGAGTCATTTAATACCTGAGGGAACAACACTCAGTTTTTGTCAGCTGTTGAGCAGACACAAAAGCAGGTCTCCCCTACTCCAGAAATGAAGACTGTTGGACTGAAGTGGTGCTTATAACCAATGTATCATTCATGTCAGATGTGTTCACAAAGGCCGGGAAAGTCAAAACTACAGCTGCAAACTGAGATGTAACACAGAGTTTGCAAGGCAGTAGAAGTGCCTCGTGTTTCTGCCCGTGCTTAACGTTTTTAAGAGAGACCTTGATGAAACGAGAATAGAGAGAAGCAGCGTGAGAGTTTTTCTGCATGAGTCAAAAAGGAAGAAAATTACTTCTGAAGAGATTGTGTTAGGTGCCCTTGAAAAACTTGGACAGGATATTCGTGTGAGAGGCCTCTTGTACAGAGACACTAACTGAGGTTTGTTTTTAGAAGGACATCAGGGTTTTATTCAACAAGAGAAGTTTTGGATCCTGCAAGGTGACCTGCTACTCCAGTAATCTGCTGTGATGACAGCTCTATATTTCAAGGCAGCAATTTTGAGTGTGAGCTGGTGTTTGCATGCAGGAGTTACTTGAGACAGCAAAGAGCTCACCAAGCCACCTGAGCTTAAGCACCTTCTGGCTGCTCTCAGAACTCATCATCTCCCTATCTGTAGGTGAGAGATTCTTCAGTTCCATGAAAACACTGCGGAGCTGATTGGAGACTGCACCGAGATAAACCTGAGTGTGCTGTGCTCCAGCTGCTCGGAGCTTACCACGAGTCAAGTGATAGTTGTTTGGGAAGAAAGTTCGACTGACGTGATAGGTACCTACGCCACAGGAGACTGGCAGATAAATGGTTTTAGAGTGCCCTGTGGGAAACAGTGTGCCAACAGTGTTCTCCTGGCCAGCACTGTTAATAAAAGCAGTTCTTTCGGTCTTTGTGGGTTCTGTCTGCCCCTCTGACTGTTGTCTTTGTTTTCCTCTGAGCTTTCTCCCAGTTGATTGGTTCTTCAAGGGAGATAACCAAAAGCAGAGGCTGTTTTCCACTTTTGAGGTCTTGTGCTGAGTGGAGAAAATGGTGTAACGTAATTGGGTACTGTATTCTTGGTTTATGTCCTAGCATGATGGTTCTCTTTCMTATATGACCTTGACTTAAATTCAGCCTCTGACCCGGAGAGCCCTCTGTATCCACTTCTGAAGAACTTCTGTCTAGCCAGATGTTCTCCATCTGTCTTGCACATCTGTCCAGATCCAGCTGAATTCTACTTTTTCTGAGTATATGCTTGCTTTTGTGAGGAATATTAACATCAAGTCATGAAATCAGTATCTAGTGAAGCGTTCGACTGGCGATAGGTGGGTTTTTGACAAATGCAGTTGTCGTGGTCCCTGTAAATGAGACAAACACACCTGATGCATCTGTTGCAGAGCAAATAGGTAATAGCATCAGCTTTGAAAATAAGCATTCGTTCTGTGGTTTGATATGCACGGCTGTGGGTTTGGGAGGGGTGTATGTAATTGGAAGATTTTATAAATAGTTGTATCATAAACTAGTCTCCCATTTTTTTTGTAATAATTTCAAGTATGAGGGCGTGTCTCCTATTTACTGTTGCTTTGTGAAGTGACTGAAAATATTAGTAATTTTACAAATTGTCTAGTTTCTCTGCCATAGTTATAACTATAGTTATTCTAGTATGTATAATATTTTCTTTCTCCTCCACACTTGCAGAGTAAAGCAGTAAAATTTTTTACAATCACTGCACAGACTATGGAGAGCTTTGTGAAGTCGTTAAATGAAGACATGAAGCAGCAGGATCTGGATTCTGATGAAAATCAGTTTGTCTTGGCTTTGGCAGGGATTGTAACAAGTAAGTTAGTGTTATCTCTCACGTTAGCCTTCCACATACAGGCAGTGGGAATTCATATGTTATGTGTGCTGCAGTAAACATGTTTTTCAAAATCAAATGTCTAGTCAATGTTGATATCTTTGGTAACTTCCTAGTCTAGGTTGTAGAAGATCTTGTCATTTGACACTTCTGCGAGGAATTGAACTCTGTGAAAAGATTGAGGATTACATGTTGGAGAACACTTGTGCACAAACTGGGGTAATATAAGGAGAATTTTGTTTGTTGGAACTCATTTCATTTGTAAAAATCAGACAACATACTTCCTGAATCACCAAAAATGTTAACAGATGTATTAATTGCAGATAATCTGCGTAGATCAGTTTGATCTTAAGGAATATATTCAGCATTTTTAAATTGTTTATGAATATCGTTGAWACCATATGGACCCCTCTAGATTTTATGATTAAATAACGCTAAAACAGGAAAAGGCAGTAAATCTGACTTCCATAGAAAATCTCTCTTTAGGGTAACGTGGTAAGCAGGAAGCTGCAGATCTGTTTTCACATGGCTGAGGTTGACTTGGAAGGCTGTTAGAAATGGTGATGCTTTGTCCTCAGCRTTTATGAGAAATAGGGCAGGTGTCAAAAGGGCACTAATTAATGACATGATGCAAGACAGATGAGACAAAGGGTGTATTTACAAATAAGGGAGTCCTGCATAAGCAGCTTTTTTTTTTTGAATATGGGATTTTAGATGCCATGGCTTCATTAAAGAATGTAATAAAAACAGGGTACGAAGCATTAGGCCACTGTTCCAAGTAAAGGTGGGATTCAGTTCTTAAGTTTCTTCACTGAAAAGAAAAAACGCAGCAAAAGTAAAGCCTGAACCCAGAAAGCTTGGAAAGGCTCATCCCTTAGCACAGAGGGAGACTGCTGAGTGCAAAAGCATTATCATGGTGAAGGCACATAAAAGGGCCCTGAAGTATGGGGCAAGCACAAGGGAAAATATATGAGGAGTCCACCTTGGAGATGTCGGGGTTGCTTTTGCCTTAGGAGTTGTGCATGAGCAGCACTTGTAGGAAAAGACCCTCACRTGATGCAGCGGTGCAGTTTGCCACTGTACAAGGAGTGTGCCAGGCATCCCGGACTGAGAAAATTTAAGGCAAACTGCAGGTTTGTTTCTTAAAAGTGGAACCTGTGGTGGTCAGCCCTGCTTCATGCCCACATCGTTTGCATGTGCCTGCTTATAACTGCTTGAATCCAACCTTCTGTTTCRTAATCCACTGCGTTACCATTAGAATCCTGGCCACGCTGAACACTTATTTTAATCACCAGAACATTAGCATCAATATTTGCCATGTATGTGACAGCATGCATACCGAGGTGTCATGCTTGGTTCTTCACAGCTGATGTATTTTAGTGGTGCTGATAACTCACGGTGCTGTTCTGTGCTCTCTCACAGATGTAGCCGCGCTGGCCTGTGGCCGGGAATTCTTGGTTACTTCCAATCGGGAGCTACTGGACACCATGATGCAGCTCTTGGGAGACATGAAGCCTGGACTCTGTACTAAATTTAAAGTGTATGACTTCTTTTTTTTTTTATTTTTCTTTCAAATGAGGTGCATCATCTTGCAGTGTCAATCAAAGTGTTTTCCCACTCTTCCATTACTTCATTTCCTGGAAAGGAAGCATAATTGTTGGAAAATATTTTCACAGTGGCATTWTTTGCAGATGTGTCAGGCTTGGCAGCTAGGCTAGGTTTGTCCAGGTTTTGTGTTTCTTGGGAAGTGTCTTCAGCACCATAATATTCTAAGGATGAGCAGAGAAACATTCCTCTACCTTGGGAGGGGCTGATGAATCAAATAKTAGATAAGGAAGCTGTGAGGTAAACTTTTGGGACAGAGAGAATGTGGGGATTCATACTTACTCTATTCCAATAGGAAAAAGTAATATCTGTAAAATAATTTATCTGCTTAGTGGGAAAAAAAAAGTATATTATACATCTGCCAAAAGCAAAACCTAAATCACTTTATGCTACCTTAGTAGTCAGAAGCACCATATGTATGTTTGTAAAGGATAGAACCTGTAAAAGGACCTTGGAAAACAGAGCTGTTTTAAAGAAAAGGCCATGTTACACCATTCAGACATTGGAAAAGTACTTTTCAGGAAGTGGGGGAAATAAATAAACTATCATCTTTGCCTTTTTCTCAGAGCTGTTATCAACTGAAGCTGCGTGGCTTCAAGTAAGTTACCCTGCCTTAACATGTCCTYGCTCATCAGCTAAGTTGGGGGCTGCATCTCGTACACCTGGTGCACTTGTTAGTGAAGGAGCCTTAAGCCAAAGTGTTTTCCCACCAGGTGGGGGAGTTAGGAATTCAGCTGCAAGGCAGCTGTGCTGACAGGCAGCAATCCAGGCAGCCACGGTCCCTTGGAAGTGCCCCAGGGGCAGGTTGGGTGTGATAGATATGACACCAGTCGGGCTTTACCTTGGGGTGGGTTTTATCTTGCCCGGCCTCAGCTATGTAGAAGCGAGAGGTCACGTATCTGCAGACTCCTTCCCACAGCCAGCAGAAGGAGATAGTCCTGGGAGAGGATTGTTCCTTGAGGCCATGTTAGGAAGGATTTATTTGCCTTCTGAAGCTGCTTGGCTTTCTTTTTTTGGGGTAGTGAGGGGAAGCTGAACAGCCTGTGTTGTGTGTAGTGCTTAGGTACTTTGGTATCAGTCATTTACTGTATTTACCAGTTACAGAGATAGAAGGTGAGAACTCAAAGCAGGCTTGTTAACTTTTGGAACAGCATCTTTTTTAGGCCTATACTAAAAGATTCATATCAAAAGCTCAGCTTTCACTTAAGAAATAAAAGGCAATTTGTGCCTTCATGTATACAGGAAAAAAACATGAGTGCAAGACCTGTAAAAGTTTTTTTTTTTTTTTTTTAATGACAGAAGTAGAAACCAGTAACAGCAACAAAAAAGCCACAGAACTTTATATGGGGGCAGGAGGAGAGAGTAGCAAAGTGTTTCTAAAAACACGCATGCAGACCCACTCACCCTGGTATACACACTTTGGATTTTAAGCAAATATAATCTTAATGATATTTAAACATTTGAGAGTAGTGTAATGTAAATGGTGATTTTCGAGGACCTTTCAGAAATTAAGATTTGTGATTTTATATTTACTAACTTGTCAGCTTTGCAGAGGAATTTCACATACGCTCTAATCTTGGCTGCCACTCATCAATCCTGATAAAATATGCAGAAATCTGTCCCAGGAAGCACACAGAGATTCAACAGGGTCTAAACTCTTGGCCAAAAAAAAAGGAAGGAAGCCTTAAAGGGCCATTGCAAAAATGTATTTGAGAAACTTTAAGCATTTTTTACCTTGTGTTTGGTGATAAAATAACATTTTCTGATATTCCGTAGAGTTAACTATATATTCTTTTTTTCTTATTTTGAATTTGCCATATGATTAAAAAAACATGCTGTATTATGACCCTAGAAAAAAACCACCAGAATTGGGGTTTCTTCATTGCCTTGTTATGGAGTGAGGGATCCTATGAGGGATCAAATGGTTTAGTGCAAAGTGTTTCCGATGTGTTTGTTTCCCTGCGCGTTTGGGCTCTGTTCAGTTCTGAAAACCCTCTGCTTACCCTTCCCTCCTTTGTTCTCCTATCTGGGGATTTTCCCCTCTCCCAGCCCCAGGAAACGAGGATTTCCATGTGTGTTTAAACTTCTCCATGAATGAGGCTTCTCCCTCTGCATGTTTCCTAAGAGGACATGTCAGGAGAACTCTCTTTTCTGCCTAGCGTTAAGAAGCACCAGGCAGTACAGAGTGAAAGGCGGTGATGCGACAGAGGTATCACAGCTAACAGACTTGCAGAGTTCTGTCTAAACACATTCTGGAGTCATCATAAATAATGTTTATGTAGACACTTTTTAGATGATATCCAGGGAGTGCTGATGTCTGTCTGATGTTTTGGAAATGTAGTGAATTACTTGAAAGGCCATCAGCAACTTGAAGTTTAACTAGGAAAAGAAAAAAAATTGGCTTTATATTATATTTTATATATATTTATATATATATATATATATTTTCAAGGATAATTTTGTCCTTTGCTCAGGTGCTGTAGCTTTACTTCTTTTGCTTTTTGCTTCTATTAAAAATATATTTTTTGTTAGTTTGTGATGGATCAGGAGTAACTGTGAGTCTCGTTCTGCCCACAGCTGCATCAAGCACAAAGTAAATTGAAAAAGAGAGAAGTTCTCTTTCCTCCTTCAGTTCCAGCAATTCTGTGTTTTACTTTTCAAAGCACAGAAATCAAACATACACGGGGAGCACCTGTGATTTATCATGAATATTGTTGCKGTGCAGGAATAACTCATGAGTATGCAAAAGTTATACTCAGGGCATCTAAATCAATGTGAGTTCTGAAATCTCATGCTTGTCTTTGCCTGCTTGGCTTAGCTCAATTGTACAAGCTTTGTTCGATGTCTGTAATGGTTAGGCAATCAATAAACATTTACACATCTGTTTATAGCTATAATTTAATTGCTAGGRATCTTTAACTTCGCTTGTGTAGCACTTCAAAGCAGCCAGTAAAATAGTTTATTTCATGTACTAATCTCATGTGTTAAGCAGAAGAGAAGGGGCTTCAGCTGGGCTTTTAGTTCTGGATTTTGAAGAAGGCTGTGCCGGTTATACTGATGCAAGATGTTCGTTGGATTTGGCTTGTCTAAATAGGAAGACTGAAATCCATCAGTACAAAGGCTTCCATGTCAAAAAGGAATCGGAAGATTCTGTGTATCCAGTAAGACTGTGTGTCAGTTCTACTTCAGTAGAATATGCAGTGCAGAAAATAGCTGTTCGTACAAACAGTATAGGTGAAGGCAGGATAAAGAGCCAGGAAATGTAGCCACGCTGCTTAGGTAACTTGTGCTTAACGAGCAATAAAATACTGCTGATCCTGCATCAGGCCTTTGCGTTGGCTTGTGGGTGGGTTGAGTCTTGGGACACTTCAAACACCGTCGCTTTCCTGCCGCGCCACCGCCAGGGCCTTTGGTCTGCGCAAAGCAAACAAGAGGAGGGAGAATACAAAGAGCACAGTATCTCCCTACGTCACTTTGTTTCTGGCTGGAAATGTCAAACAGATTAACGAGGAAAGACCTTGTCAAGAAACGTTAACTCTTTCTATTTTAATTAATTGTTTTATTGATATTTTTCCTTCTAGAGAGAGCATTCCCTTCTACGTCAGTTTTGAAACCCTGCCTCCCAAGTGCGTGCTGTGGAGTGGGTGCTGCGTGGAAAGGAACATTTGGGCTTTGCAGGTTCCCTGGGCGCCTGCTGGGCAAGGGCAGCAACTTGCAGCAGCAGTGGGGACTGCTGATGGAGCACATTTAATAAGGCTGTTTACTTAATGAACCTACTTGATGAGCCACACAGTGATGCACCAAATATATAACTGAAACTGCTGCCCCTGTAGAATAAACTGGGTTGTGTTGCTTTTCTTTCGAGGTGTCTGCAGGGCGTGCGTGGAGGCTGTATCTAATTCTGCAGTGCCACTGAAGCCATGCTCTCTTATTTGAAATGGGATGTGAGGTGAGAGTCCTTTAGGAAAGAGCATTTTGCCCCTCTTGGTTGGAAATGGTGGCAGTGCAGCGACACGCTGCTCTATCGGAGCAGCTTGGCCTGTTTGTTTGTGCCCGGTGTGCTGGTGCACAGTCCCCTGGGCTGCGGGGTAGTGCCAGGCTGTGAGCTGCAGTGATGACAGACAGGGGCCCCGCGGGCTTGGGGAGCCCTGCCCCTGTGTCAGCCCTGTCCCTTGTCCAGAAACTGCACCACACTCTCAGTTTTAAAGGGCATGTGCATAGAAGGTAGAACATCAGGGAAAGCATGGAAGAGCTCGCTCATAGGACAGCTTTTAGCTTCAGAATACGTCTGKTTTTTTTCCAACATGTCACAAGCCCTTGTCTAGGAGTTCATAGCACAGCAGTGATCTCATTTTGAAAGAAGCTGAGCAAGACGTTTCTCCTATAAATCACTGTCTTTTTTTCTTTTTTTTTTTCCCCCTGGGAGTTCCTGCCTTTGAGTGTCAGGTCATTTTCCTACTGGCAATTAGGGAAATGAAAATAGTTTCCATTAAGCCCACGGAGACTCTACGTAGCTAAACCAGAAGCTGTTACCCACCAGAAATAYGAAAACTCTTATCAGGACTGTGGAAGACGGAGTAATAACATTAACGCTGAAGAATTTACTTCAGCAGGAACTGCAGAAAGACTCAGTACCAACAACGTCTCCTTCAAGTATTAGCAATTCTTTGGGATAGCTTTGTAAAGAGAGGCTTGCTCTGAGCTCCAGGTTACTGCACTTGCCCAGCAGGGTCGAGTGGCTGAAAGCAATCTCTGGCGTGGGGGCCCTGTCTGTGTGAACAGGCAAAGCTGCCCTTTCTGTGGGTCACTTTGTGCATCCTACAGCCTCAGCACGCTCAGAGCCAAGGCTAAGCTTGCACTTGCAGTCGGCTCCCATCTCCTGATGCTTCTCAGGTTTTTCACATTAGTCACCATCTGGAAGCTTTCCATGCTTGCAGGACCCTCTCTGTCAGACTTCTTGGGAGAATCTGGTGGAATAGGCAGGCAAGAGTAAGCCTTTTAAAATACAGATGTTTCTCCAGCAAAYGTGTTTTGCTTTGCTGTAATTTATAACTTGGTAGGCATGAAGCCCCGAAGATGGGGCTTCATGCTGATGARCTTCCTATTTTAGAAAGCTGATAGATTAAGAAAGCCTGTTTTGGGGAGCTTTTGAACATGTTGCTGAAATTAGTATATACCTGGTATGCCTGTTTTTATTATGCCTTTTAAGCACTGAAGTGCYGTGTGGCTATAAGTGACAGTCTGATTTTCTGTTTGTTGGAAATGTCATGTTACRTTTTTTCAATTCTCAATTATGGCAATGTTTTCTAGTCAGCAGTCCATAGATTTTTCTTATTACCTGAAAGGCAGGATATAGGCTTGGTCTTGCAACATCATAAACAGTAATAAAAAAAAAAAAAAAAAAGGAGTTACCTCTGAAAAAAAGAAAAGAGAAAAGAGAGAAAAGGAAAGGCTTTGAGTTTGCTCAAATGTTGTTTGGAAGCAGCAGTTCTGAAGAAGCGTAGGTGAGAGCATCACTTGGCCTGTGTTATCCTGGTGCCTGAGCTCAGGTAAGAGCAGTCTGCGGTCAGATTGAATTCCAATTGGTGACTTAAAATAAGAAAAAGCCAAGTGTCTTTTCAGCTGTAGTCAGCTGGGCTTCCTAAAGGCAGAATAAACAGAAAAGTCCATGAGGACTTAGGAGACAAGTGTTGGTTTTGTCACAGCAGGGTCCCTCTGCCTGGGCTTGGGAAGCAGGCGGGATCAGCTCTTCGTGTGCTCTACACYTGCAGTGGGGAGGACAGGTCAGGCTCAGGAGGAAGGGTGCCACGTTGGGCCTGCCATACATCGTCCTTCCCTCCTCCAGGCCCCGGCCCTTCCTCCGAGTACTTCTGCCAGCCTTTCTGTGCTGCTTGCTGTGTGTTGCCCATGTGTTGTGTCTCTTCCCCCTTGCAGGAGACCTGGGAGGGTGCTYGAGGAGGATGCCCTGAGCAAAGTGTCTGGATTGCAGCTGCCTGAAGGGGCAGCGAGCACTAAGGCCTGCGCTGCAGAACAAGCAAGATGGAGCACACGGTTCCTTGCACGTTGCTTCTAGCTCCGGGCGTGCGCTCCCCGTGTGTCCTGTGGGCCCGTTTGCTTGTGGAGAAAAGCAGTGTAGCTGAGAGGATCACCTCTGCAGTGGGAACCCTCGCTGAGAAAACTYCTGTGTAGGCTGGATGGTCATTGAAGGCCAAATCCTACTTTGGCATGTTTCTTGTAATGAATCTCATGGAGTTTGATGAGACTTTGTTGCTGTCAGATCAGTATTTTTCTTCAGGACTTCAGTGATTCAGTGTTTTGCACAATGTTGCATGTATGTGCAGTGGGCTGTTTTATCAAAGTGTGCATTATTAGACTCGGTTTCTGCACCAATATATGCTTATTGCAAACAGCAAAAGATGCAGAGAAATTCACTTCTTTTTTCCTTTCAATTTTAGGCTAATGCTTATGTCACTTTACAATGTGAGCATCAACTTGAAAGGCTTGAAGTACATCAGTGAAAGTCCTGGTTTTATTCCTTTGCTTTGGTGGCTATTGAATGGTAAGCTCCTCYAAGAGTCATGCACGTTGTGGCTGTGGGGATTGTAAAGGGGGAGGAGATACTGCAAATAATGGGGATATAAATTGGAAGTGGGTACTGCAATTAACAAAAGAGAAACTTTTATCTGTAACCTATGTTAGCATCTGTCAGATGAAAAGTAGCCAAAAAAAGGCAAATAGATGATGATGTTCCCACAACATTTCTGGCGCAGTGTATAATATTCCGTTGATATCAAGTAAACCGATTGTAGTATCAGAAAAAGGAAGCAGATATTAAAAAGCCATTCGTGTTTTCATGTATCAACTTCAAAACAAAATCTTGGGGAAACTGTATGGAATAAATAAAATCTACCGAAGGAAAATGTAACAATTCTGAGGCATTTTGGAAAACCAAGCCCAACTTGGCTCGTACGCTCACTCGTGGCCAAAGTGAGCCCGGGTCCAGCTGAGGAGAGTCATTGTGGTCTAACAGGACTGGGGTGGCCTGAGTGCTGTTCCCAGCTCTGCCTTTGGTCCATGAGGACTTCAAGGACTTCTCTCTGTCACTGTCAATGTAACTAGCAAATGATACTACTGGCTGAAATGGAAGCAGTTGCATCCTGCTTTCTCACGYGCTGAATTTGATGTTGAAGTTCTTGATTTGACCTGGTAAACTGGTATTTTCCACAGCTCACACTTGCTCAGCAAAGAACACACAGCAACACAGTGCAAGTGCTGCCCTTGCGCTGCCTTTCATGTGACATGGCAGCAAACTCACCAAGCCTTGTGACAGCATGGGGGAACACCTCCACGTTTTACAGGCTTTTAATACAGCCTGAGAAAAAACAGATTTGCAAGGACAACTCTGAATATGTGACCCTTTGCTTTGCTGTACTTGCAAGCTTCACTTAAGCTAGTCCAGATTTTCCTCTTCATTTATGTTAGGAAATATATATATCAGCATATATGTGTATATATAATATATACATCAGCTGTTAGAGCAAAAACCAGCTTTGCTCCAATACCTGGTCTGCATTTGAGTTCCCAAGGGTGCCCTTTGCAGTGTTGTGGCAGACCAAGGAAGATGGTTTTGTTTGATGCAGCCTGTTGTTTGAATGTTTGAATGAGGCTCAGAGGTCATGGACAAGGAGGGAATGCGGCACAGCTGTAATCAAGTTACAAGGAAGTTAAAAAGTTACTGGAAGTTAAAAAAAAAAAAAAAAAAGGACATTCAGCATTTAGAAAGTGTTAACTGGGAGAAGCGATGGGCATGGTTAATTCTTTCACTTTTTGATAATGAAGTTCTGCAGGTACAGCAAAGGAGGGCGCTTCTCAGATAACCACACGTGCTGGCTCAGATTTGTGGCTTCAGAGGAAGCCTGTTCACTGTCTGGGGAGGGGCTGCCTGGGTTGTGTGTTGGCTGGGAGATCAGACCCAGGGCTCTGCCTGGCTCCCATCATCATACAGGAAATCTCTGTAGTCCATTTCTCTCTTTAGTCCCTTTCACAGAATCAGCATGGTTGGAAAAGTCCTTCAAGATCATCAGGTCCAACCCTAGTCCTTCAACACCATGGCTGCTAAACCACGGCCATGGGACCCTCATCTACCCCTTTCTTGAACACTGCCAAAGGCAGTGACTCCACAGGCTCCCTGGGCAGCCTGTTCCAGGGCTTCCTGAACATTTCCCCTTGCAGAAGGCAGTGGCTTCCTCCTGCTCTTGCTCTGCACTGCATCTCTGGGCAGCATCTTCAGCTCCCGCTGGCCGTGGTTCAGCTTCTGGACACGTGGAGCAGCTGCCACAGGTCCAGCARCTTTTTCCATGCGAGAGGGTAGAGCAGCACAGTCTCTTGTCAGAGTATCCTGTACAGGTCGCCTTCCTGCAGGAAGCTTCTGGAAAGAGTGTTTGGGTGAAGGCTTGTGAGATGATTCAGCTTTCCTCAGTTCTCCAGAGTTTATCAGAGTTCCCACTAAGAGGCGCCAAGAAATCACCATGTGCAGAGGGCAGATGTGTACATTAACTTATTGTTTTTTCCTGTTTCCTCTGGCTGTATCCAAAGCAAAGAGACTKCAGACAGGTTGTCTAGCAGGCTTCTTGAAGGACAGAAATAGGAGAACTGGACATGGCATAGATGGATAATAGAAGAAAGGTAGAAAAAGTAACAAGAGATTTCTAGCGGAGTAAGGCTTGGATCAGTCTGGATTTCTGTCTGTGGAGCAGCTTCTTGGATAGGTAGACTTCTCTTCTTGTGGAGCGCTATTTGTCTGCAGAGAAACTTTTAGCACTTTGCTGAAAACATGGTTCTGGGKTTTTTTTTTCCTATTTTTTTTCCTTCCACTTGTCCAGTGTCCCTATGTAGATATTTTGGGCGAAGTTTTCTGTAATCTTCACATTTAAAGGAATGCTGTCCCTTAGGGCTTTCAGTCTGACAAAGAGGTTATATATTTTGGGGTACAAATCTACTTGAAATTTCTCGGATTATTTTTCTGGTACTTSAGCTCTGGATGCAAGAAGACTTCCTCATTCTGATGAAGAATACTCAGATACTGATCATTAAGACTAGGCTTGTGTTTTCACAAGCATGCAGAATATCTGCAAGCAAATGGGTGCTGGATAAGATTGGCTTGGGCTCGCCTCTTCTGTTCTATTCCTATCTCTTATCTGTATTTGTTTTTCCACTTCTTAAACTTTGTTTGGATGCAGTTAATGCTCTTGTTGGACACATTAGAAAGTGTGGAATTGAAGGGAAACTGTCAGTGTTGCTTCCCATCCATAGCTGGGAAGTTACTGCAGGTGCTTCATTAAACAGGACACGACAAGAGGCACATGACTCATCTTGGATCTCTCCCTTCAGTTTCCTCCGCCTCGGATGCACATGGAAATCTAACCTTGTTTGTCCAAATTCCTTACAAGTGACAGTCTCTACTATAAGTGTCTGTGTGCAGCATATTCTCAATCTGCTGATGCTGTCTCCAGCCTTAAATATGTGCTGCTTGTCCTGCTTTTCTGTTGGGTTTGGTTATGGTTGTGAGTATTTAAAAAACCCCGGTCGTTATTTAGAAGGTATCTATACTACCAAAAACTCTGCTTACAGGAGAAATCTGTACTAAAGAAAACAGATACTGTTTCATAAATCAAAACTCTAGATCCCTATTTTTTCAGGCTGTGAGCAGTTCTGCATTCTTTAGGCGATGCAGAAGTGTTAAAAACGGTCTTGCCCTTGTGTCTTAGGACCCATATCCGTGTTCTTGAGCACAAAGCTGAAGCTCTGGCCTGGAAAGTGCCCGGACCGCTGCTCCCCAACCTGAGGGCTCATTTGGCCTCCRTGGTTGTCCCGGAGCAGCTGCTGGGAGCGCCATCCCGCTGGAGGTTGGTAGGACCCTGGGAATGCTGCCCTGAGTGCCAGTTCTCAGCMGCTGCCATGGGAATGTGCACCATCCCTCCTGGGGACGGCGGGAAGCTGAGCAACACGGCTAGTGGAGGCCAGCGATGTGCGGCTGCAGGATGCCCATTAGCTCCCAGCCCCRGGAGCAGCAGGCAGGCAGACTGGGATGGGTGCGGACACGGAGCCTCTCCAAGGAGACTGCAGTCCCAGTGGCGATGTCGGGGCTGGGGAGAAGGCAGGGGCTCAAAGCGCAGGTGCTTTCCTGGGAGCTATGCAGCAAAGCTGCTTATTTTCTGTTCCGCTGTGCACCCTGCTCCTCCTCGAGCCTTCATGGCAGCACCTCTTGTCCCAGAATGAGGGAAGTGTCTGGAAAACCCTGCACGGCGGCAGGCTTTGGCTGAGCTCCGCCAGCCCCAGCCGTGCGGAGGGCTCCTGCACGGGGCAGCTCCTGCTGCAAACGCAGCTGGTCTGACCGGTGCCCGCTGCGGACGGGGGCAGCGGCAGCGCATCCCGCTGYGCCAGCGCGTCCCGCTGTGCCAGCGTGTCCCGCTGCGCCGGTGCAGTGCCCTGAGCTGTGCCGCAGGGAGCAGCTTATCCACGAGCGCGAGCCGCCAGGCACCGGCGTGACGGGAACCTGCCCGCGCTGCCGCTGCTGCCCGTGACTGAAAGGAGGTGACGTCAGGCGGCGGTGACATCAGGTAACGGTGACATCAGGCRGCGGTGACATCAGGCRGCGGTGACATCAGGYRRCRGTGACATCAGGYARCGGTGACATCAGGCRGCRGTGACATCAGGYRRCGGTGACATCAGGCGGCRGTGACATCAGGTAACGGTGACATCAGGCGGCGGTGCCGGCAGCTGCCCCAGCGTCAGCCTCCTGCAGCAGCTGCAGCCCCTCGTGGGAATTGCATCCGCCCGTGGCGCGCTGTGTGTTTCCAGCCGAGCGTCACCCGCGCGAGCCCAGGCTGAGGCAGCCTGCCTGCTTCTCCTCCTCCATTGCCCAGGAATAGCGACCGTGGCTCTGTAATTTCGGCTGCAGAAGTGCGTGTGGTCGTTGCTGGGAGGAGAGGATGTGGTGATTTGATTACAGCTAAAACATTCTCTTTTTTTTTTTTTTTTTTTGGACAAACAAAATGTTACTCTGCGAGCGTGGAAATGACTAACTCTGGAAGCTACCGAAAGCATAATGCTGAACAATTAAGATTCTTTGCATTTCTTTTGACTGTTTTTTAAGAGATTTTTCTTAAGAAGAAAATAATGATACTAGAGAGACAAGGAAAAGACTTCTAAAGTACTTTAAAAAAAATCCTCTTAGAAAACATGATTATCCATAGTAAGCAGTAGTCTCAAAGCCAAATGTAATCTAAAAGGAGTAAGTTTTAAAGCATCTCTAGTTATTCCATTTAAAGTGAATTAGAACGTGTGCAAAACAGCAGGAATCAGATGTTAAAAGTGCATTAAGGCGTCCTGTGGTGCGGGAGCTTTTCCTGCCTTCGCTGCCCTCCCGAGCAGCCGATCTGCCCTTCCTTGGGGTGACTCAAGCAGCTGAGCTTCCCCGGCTGCTGTCGAAGCCTCTTCCTAGAGCCTCTCTGGCCTTACTGGAAAACATTCCTGCGGGTCAGGCTGGAAATCATTTCCTGATTCCCCTACAGATCCTGATTTTATTATCTCCCCTGCTAATGCTTCGCCCTTGATCAGTTCTTCATTGCTAAACGTAATGGTAATAGAGATGCAGTATTAATAATGAAGCACATTTCACCCAAGGATTTAAAGTGGCAACATCTATGAAGCTTCCCAGCAGTGCTGTGAGTCACTACAAGTATTAATGTCTTTGCTTCATGGAGGGATAATCCCACACAGAGGAAGACAGTAATGCACTACATAGATTGCACTTTCTGAAAGCTTCCTTACCTCTTTGGACTATTCTTTTATTACTGCTGTTTCCAATGAATTAATATTGTGTGATACTAAGCATGGAGAAGGGGTGCCAGTGATATGGGCAGAGTTTGGATGTTTTATCTGGCAAAATTACACAATTGAAAAGAAATAAGCCTGTGGGAAGCATGAAGATGAAAGTGGAAGGAATAAAAGGAAGAAGGCAAGGCCTTTAGACCTACTTGGATTACGTCAGTATAGATAGATCAGAAAATCGAGATATATAGATAGATATAGATCAGAAATGGAGAACTTTAGCACCCACTTGTTTTTGAAAGGGTTCCCTGAATCCTTTTACTACCCAGGGAATTGGTCTTGCTGCCTTTGCTGTCTAGGAGGCTTGAGTGGCAGCGTCTCTCCTTGAGAAGAAGCTGTGAGTGTTCAGTGCTTAGGAAAATGGCACTTCCAGGTGTTGTAGGAGCTCGTGATGGAAAGAGAATCCTTCACGTTTATCAGTTTTCAAAATGATGATTCGAATGACTAAGGTTGCCTGGGATATGCAAAGACTTAAGATTTTGGTACATAGAAAAGTGGGAAGTGGTGCATGTTTGGACAGTTCCTGTGTGCCAAGTTGATACCACACTCTGCTGGATTCCCAGTAGACAGAAAAGTAATTATTTTCTTGAGACGTTTTTGCTTTAAAAAGGGAGGAAGATGCAGAAAAGACTGAAATACCTCATTTACAGGTGGAAGATGGATAAGGAGAGAGATCGTGACCTGCTCGTGGGTGTAGATCGGATGTCACAGTCTTTGATACTGTCCCAGCCACATGCTTAAAAATTCCCATGCGAGCAGTTTCATGCTTAGCCATAGTCCTTGTTGTCTCTCATCTGCTTTCTCCACTGGCTGCTTTCAGCATTGCCCCGTTCCTTTCATGAGCAGTACTTCTTGCTCACTGCTCAGGGTCACACGTGCAGGTATTAAAGGCGCTATTAACCAATTTAAAGCCAACAGACCCAAGAACAGAGCCCGCSACAGGCCACCCCGCGCTCCCTTCCCTCCCAGGACACGTGCTCATTGTGGCACTTGATGCTCCTCCGGCCAAGCTTCTGTCTCTGCAGTGATTTCTACGTGCCACGTTATCTGCCCTAATTTTGCTTGGTGTTTCCAGACAAAGCTCTGTCAAAGGCTTGCTGAAGAGACTAGGTTTGCTCGTGTCCTGCATGCCCAGCATGTGGAACAAGTAGCTACTTCAGCCGTATGTTGTATGTTGTCATTTGGAGTATGCAGAATAACCTTTGTAAAGTTGTCAACTATTAAATGCAAACAGACTGTTGTGATTAAAATATAATCGTGCTAATGTTTCCGTAATTAAGCCTGCATGCTGCATTCCTAGCAGCAGAGTTACTRTATGTCTTGCTAGCTGAAGTCACTCAGAGATCTCTGCTGAATGGCTCTGACACATCCCTGAGGAACCACGCTTCGCTTCAGGACCCGTTTCAGTTTTGTGTAGACTGCATTTAACCCTTGGAAACTTCATTCATTATTTCTAATAATCTTTTCTAAAAAGTGATGTTTTAACCCTTGGAAACTTCATTCATTATTTCTAATAATCTTTTCTAAAAAGTGGTATTTTATTGAGCTTTGAAGATATCTGAAATCTGAAGGAAGAAGCAGCTCGATTATTTACAGCAGCTTTCGTTAGTTGTTCTGTCTGTTGTGGAGTCTATTGTTAAGACTATTTAGTCATGGGATAGAACTTATTTTGCTTTCAATCCGATTATATCCAGCAGTACATCTTGGCTCCGGGCTGTGTAAATTCAGCTTGKTGATAAATGCACTTAGTTATGGTGTTACATGGCCGTGCAAGRGCAAGGCTCCCGGTTATCCATTGCTCCCAAGCACTGCCGAGGGGCTCAGCTGGGTTTTTCTTCAGCTTCACTGTAGATCYAGCTGGCACTAAAGGGCAGATGTGAATGGTGGCACCTCAGTTATTCCCAGCACACCTGGTGGGTCAAGGAGAATGCCACTCTAGAGCTTTAATGCTACTATATATATATATATAATATATATATATATRTCTGTTCTCATGTTTAATTGACACCTGGCATTTTTTCCCTCCCATTTTCAGACCCGGATACGGAAGTTTGTCTTCACGTGCTGCGACTTCTGCAGTCGGTGATTCTGGAGCCAGAGGTTTTAGCCAGGTCGGCCCCCGAGATGCGGGACACGCTGCCCTTCCAGCGTATCATTGCGCTCTCCAAGAGCCGCAACGCAGACTTGCAAGCACTGGCCAGAGAACTACTTGAAGACCTTAAAATCCTTGAGTATGAAGCATAGAAGAGCTCTGTGACACCAACTGCTTACATTTTTTCCTGTATTTTTACGCTACAGGAGTTGTTAGAGATGGTCTTGACTGAGAAGCCTTTGCCYAAGCTGCTCTGCCTGAGTTCCTTTCTGAAACTAGACAACCCAAYTAAAATAATACTTGGCCAAATGTGCTGGATTTTAAGTGTCCAAATGCCATATTAGGTACTCTGGTAGAGATGGAAAAGGCTTATTTTTCTTGAGTAGGATTCTGTTGATAATGGGTTTCCAAAATAATTCGAGTTACATTGCCTATTTACCTATTGCCTACCATAGGTAGGGAGTAAGGCAGTCATCTCACCCCTTGGTACTGTGTGGTATTTGCAGTGCAGTGTAAATAATCCTTCTGATCCATCTGTAAGGACTGCTGTGCTGGAGGAAAACTGTTGCTTTTCATAACTGTTCTGTGTCAGAATGCATCTCAGGGTTCAGTTTTACCGTTGTAACTTCTTTCACCCTCCCTTGTAATAAAAGAAAACTCAAATTCTGTAGCGTGTGACGGATTCTCTTTTCAAAATTCTCCATCARATTCACAGGAACTGCAAGTGGACCCTGTTTGTGGCTGCCAACGTGCTGGAAACTGAGCTGTTAGTTTCTCCAAGGCCCTGAAGAAAGGGCAGYGTTCTGTGGTTACCCGTGTGGCTGGTCCCGCGCTGAGGAGGGCCCCGTTAGCTGCTCCTCTGGCCCAAGCAGGACTGCGCTCGGAGCTGGGGTGTCTGCCAGGGCTGCTCTGCAAAGCTCCTTACCCCAGGGTACATGCAAACACGTGCCCTGGCGCTGGGCATTTGTACACCTTACACATATATCTTAGAAAGAAAATACGGTGTCCATTTCCAGGCTGATAGCGGCATAGTGAGTTAGGTGATGCAAGCCAAGGCAAATAGGAAAGGCAGTGCTGTGCTGGCAGTTTCTGGGCTATTAAAGTGGAGAATAAGGCACAGGCCTCACCTGCCCCTCTGAAAGCCTAAGGCAGAGACCAGGTGGCCCAGGGAAATTAATGCCCCCTCTGTTTCTTCCTTCTCCTAGYGGAAACTGTTGGGATGGCTCCGGATTTGCCTGCCTTGTGCCATTGCTGCAGAGGCAGCTCCGGGGATCTGCTGAGCAAAGGTGCCCGCTGTGAGACGCATGCCACCCTTGGGCACCAGTTGTGTAGCAGCAGCACATGCAGAGCAAGTTCTCCTGGATGCTGGCAGGCATCCACAGTTGTGGAATCCGGTTTGTTCCTAAGCTGGAGAAATCCCTGTTAGGAGGAGAACCTGGTGTAACAGCTCAATTCTTTCTCCTGTGGCTAGTACCAGAAAATTAAGATGTTAGATTACTGTGCCTCTACTTCAGTCTCTTCCCTAAAAACAAACAAATGAACAAATACACTACACTTTTGAGAGTTATTTGAGAGTTTAKGCATAAAAGAAAGTATATAATTAGGAAGGGGGTGCTCCAAGAACTTAAGAGYGTGTTGAGGCTTTATTAGCAAACTGCACGTGCATGGCATGTGGAAGACAGCATGATGCTTCCTGGGGCTGCTGTGCTTAAAAAAGGGTCAACACACACATTATACATCTCTGGTTTTACTTGCCTGCACACTTCTGCTTCAGCCTCAAACTCTGGCCCACTACAAAGCTATACTATTTTTCAGTCAATTGAATGCATGATTTGAAATACTGGCTTTGAAATGTCACCRTTTTTTTGCTGCAACCTGAAAATCTTGATTTTACCTGTGTAGTAATAACTAGTTTGCAGAAGAGGGGGCAATTCACACGATCAAAGCACTAGTTTCACTAACGCTGTTCAAAGTCCGGTTATTCCGTTGGAACTGTTTCTGCTGTTGCACAATTCCAGAGTTTCTGTGAAGAAGAAAACCTGAATTTGGTGTTGAATTGAGAAGATTATCAGAGTTACTCCGGTTACATACTGTGTAACAGGAAATAGAATTTGATTCGTATCGTAACATGTCTCTAAAGATTAAAAATCTGTTTTAAAAATCCTTAAGAGTAAAAGCCTGTTTACTTTGCAAGCCCAGTTGCACAACTAGACTGAACTTTATTCCTTGGAATTTCGTGTGTGCAGAGCTGCTGAAATCACAGCCGCTCTCTGTCACTCCCTGGAAACACTCGCTTTTCATATTTGATGCTGATGATTCAGCTAATGAATTGTAATGATTAGGTGCTAAGGAARAGCAAATGAGGATCCCTGAGCATATTTCCTGCAGCGGGAGAGATCTGGCCGTGCTGGGTCCGTGCCCGGCATTTCCTCRTGGTGGTTCAACAGCCATGAGCTGCCTGGTTCCTAAGGGAGCTGAGGTGCTCCTGGCTGTGCCAGCTCCCAGTGATTCCCAGCCCACGCCGTGGGCAGGAGAGTTCGGGACCCATCCTGTGGTGGTGGTTCAGCACTTGGCAGGTCAGGGAATTAAGCAGGAGGAAGCAYGGGAGAGAGTTGGGATTTGGTCAGATGGCCACGAGTGAACCTGCAGGTGGTTAAACTTCAGCTGGTCGCACCAGTCGTTCAGCTGCCCTTTCGGSTTAACATTTGCACTCGTGATCTGAGCTGATTAGCACAAATTGCCCTTCTGAATTGATAAGATTTTACAAGCCTTGCAAATGCTCCGTGGTTCATCCCTCTGCTGCCGCTTTCAGCACCGGAGGGATKCTGGCGCTGCGGGGAAGGGGGCTTGGCTGGGCAGCAAGAGAGCTCTGTTGCCTCTGCTCTTCCTGCCCTGTGTGTGTGCACGCTGCACGTTGAGTGAGACAAGGAGAGGCTGCCCCTTTCCCTCGCGTTCAGAGCATGTAATTCCCAGCTGCATCTGGCCGTGTCTGTGCTGTTCTGCAGGCAATTCTCCTGCTTTGTAAAGCAGGAGCTTTTGCAAATGCTGCTCACTTCCCGCGTACGTGTGTGTGGAACTTCGTGTCAGGTTACAGCTGGTGAAAGCCATCAGAAAATCGGTGAGATCATAGAGATTTCAGCATCTGCAGTGCTCCCTGAGGACCTTTACAACCTACAACTTGCCAGGTCAGAAACCCGCAAACACAATGCGTGAGACTTTGACCGAATCGTAGCTGCACGTGTAATTTATAGGGYTGTAATTTTTACTGTGGGCGCGACTGCCGTGCGAGCGCTTCTGGTGCCAGGCGCCGAGCCCCGCTGAGCGTGCGTAGGCCTCTCGCGTCCCACGTGCTGCAGCGTCTCCAGATGGAGCTAATGGGATCCCTGGGAATCTTATTGCTCTCCCGGGGCTCTCTGGGGCCTTGGGTACAGCGTAGAGATAAGTCTTCAGGAAGATCTTGTTGCATTTGTGCAGCTCGTGGGTTTCCAGGAACTGATGGAGCTGGGGAAAGGGTGAGGGACCTCCACGGGCTAAAGGCAGCCAGGGCCTCCTCACAGGATAAGGTGCCTGCTCAGCTCAGGGTTGTTGTGATGGGGTTTGGCCATTTGCCCCAGGTTGAGACCAGGAACAATCTTAGGCAGAACATTCAGTTGGAGGTGGAATATCCATAAATACCTCAAGGGAGGCAGTGAGGAGGAGGGGGTGGCCTCATTTCAGTGGTGGCCAGCGACAGGACTAGAGGAAACGGCCACAAGCTGAGGCACCAAAAGTTCCACAGGAACTTAAGGAAACACTTCTTGACAGTGAGGGTGMCAGAGCCCTGGCACAGGCTGCCCAGGGAGGTTGTGGAGTCTCCTTCTTTGGAGATCTTTAAAACCCGCTTGGACGCAGCCCTGTGCCCTGTGCTCTGGGWGTCCCTGCGTGAGCAGGGGGGTTGGACTGGATGATCCTTAAAGGCCCCTTCCAACCTAAAGGATTCTGTGACTCTGTGAAGTGACCCCATGGTGATGGCAGTGCAATGCAGAAGCATGGGGGACCCTCCAGGCTGATCTAGGCAGGAGGCAGAACTCCGGGATACGGCGGGAGCAGCTTGCTGCAGGAAGGAGCGGAGCCCCCATGGGTACATAAGCGTCCCTGCTGGAGCAGGAGTGGCCATGAGAGCCCGACCTGGAGCCGGTGCCGTGGAGCTGGGAAGGGCTGCAGCGMGGGGCGAGCGGCAGGCCGGAGCGCACGTCCCGAATCCCGCAGCTSCTCCTTGCTCTGCTCCCCACAGCTGGCCAGCCTTGTCTCTGCCCGGGCAAGTTACCTGGCCTGTCCGTTCCGCAGGTGGGACGCGGGGCCTGATCTGTGCCAGGAAGCGGCGCTAGCACCACGCGAGACGCTGTTCCCCGTGAGCTGCAGGCGCCTGGGGGCCCTTCCGAGAGGAGACAGACGCTCGGGCAGCCCAAGTGCTGGTGAGAAGAGGCTCTCCAGCCGGCCCGTCCGCTGCAAGAGGCCTGCAGCCCGCGACGGACTTGGCTGCCACTGGAGATGAGCGCGTGAAGCTGCCGCGGGGTCTGGCTTTAGCCCATGCTGGTTGCAGTGATCCTGACCAGCCCGGCAGGAGTAGCTGGAGCGAACCCTGTGTGTTTAGCCTGAAAACAGCACACAGCAGCTCTGCCAGCCGGGCTTACAGACAGCACCATGGCTTGGGGAGCACGGAGACCCTGGGGAGCAGGGACACCCTGGGGAGAGGTTCCACACCTCCGTGATGGAAAACGGGACTCCGGGACGACCTGCAATGTGCGGCAGAGCCACCGTCACAACAGCCCTGAGGCAGACGGTGTTCATGCGTGGAGGTGTTGTGTTAGCAAGCTCCCCCGCACACACACACACAAGTGCTTGCAGCCTTGTGAGTGTTTTGCAGGCCGTGCCCTCACGAGGTGAAGCTGCGTTTTGGAGAACGCAGTGGACACTTCACACTGTGCCTCACACACACACACGTACAAAAAGRAAAAAATTAAAAAAAGACACAGAGCTCTCTATACATGAAGAAATTGCTCAGTAACAATAACCTGCCCAGAGTGATTGTCTCTCTTCCCAAACATACAGTTTCTCAGTGTTTATTCCCATAACTATTTATCCCTGCRGAGCGATTTTCATGGCCAGCACCGGTACCCCGTTGGAGCAGAAGCCTCCGAGAGAAGAGCCCGCGCGCGGGCCTCAGTCACCCCCTCTGCAGTGAGGAAGCTCCCTCGGGAACGTGCGGCGCTCCCCAGCCGTCCCGCGGTGCCGGGGCAGGATTCCCGTGTCCCACAGTGCCCCGGGGACACAGGGACACGGCTCCCCACACGCCGCCGGGGCCGCGCGACCCACGCGGGCCATGGGTGCTGCTGTGAAGGGCCTGGGGAGCGGGCAGCCTTCACGGCTGCGTTTGCAGCACGGAAGGCCAGGGAGGCCGCCGTGGAAAATGCCACAGAGAAGGCAGCTTTCGGGTGCTGCACGGAGCCCGTAGCGGAAAGGGCGAGAATCCCTGAAGCCTTTGGCCTCAGGATGAAACGCGTTTTTCGGATGGACAAAGTGCATTGCCATTAATTTTTAATATTAATGGAGTATCCTGTAGGCATGGGCAGGTTCTACCTAACTGCYGTATGGCAGCGCCTACCAGAAAGCCTCACTGGTGGGGC